TCCATTTATGTATACTCTATTTTATTATCCCCCATCAGTTTTTAATCTGAGTTTTCAAGGAACCATCCAAAGAGCTGACCCTGATCTACAAAATAAGTTATGAATTTTATATATTTTCTAGAAAGTCTGAACTAAAACCCAAAGTACGAGTATTCTCCACCCCACTGATATCCATGCCACAAATAGCCGCCAAATTTTCAACATGGTTAACATTACATTAAATGTCAACCAGGGAAGGGGTATAAAATATTTTGGTCTGTATCAAAAGTGCTCTTTCAGGAGAGTAAGTTGGCAGTTTCAAGCTGGAACACTCTAGACACATATACAAATTCCAACATCTGACTGACCATGGTTTGCAGCTCATCTGCTCAACTGGAAAGTGTCAGGTTGGGAAAAGCTCTCCTTTAAACATGACATTTAGCAAGATGTGCATCTAAGTTTGGCCAGCAATCTGATGCCTCACTTTCAACTCCCAGTCCTCCTTGGAAAGGGGCTACAAATTGATTTTTAAACATCATGTATTGTGTGAAAAAGAATAACTTAAAATGAAGAAAAAAATTCACTATTCTAAAAATGCCCTTTAAATATTATTTAAAAATAATAGAGTGCATTACTCATTATGCCAAAGCAGCTAACGCCCTTGCCAGTCATGCTTACTTTTGATCTATTACTCTTGTCATTCCTTCATTAAGCATACAGGAAAAAATAATAATGCAATGCACATCTCTGTCTCAGATGCAGCAGATAACAAAGTTCCCTGCCACCCATACCAGGGTATATATCTGTTTTGTGTCCCTCCATCCTGGAGAAAGAGTAGGGTATAAATAAATATTATAATAATAACAGTAGATAACAACAACAACATTTTATTTATATCCTGCCCTTCTCCCCGAGGAGACTCCGAGTGGGTTACAGCATATAAATAGACTTAGGCAAACATTCAGTGCCATGTTACATTGAAATACAACAAAATACAAACAACAAAGGCAAAGGCTTCTCCTTTCATTTTTGGCTCTGGGGGCAGTGCTCAACTCCTGCTCTCGGGAGGTGCTCATCTCCATTTCCAAGCCAAGTAGCCTGCGTTGTCGGTAGATACCTCCTGGTTGTGTGGCCGGCATAACTGCATGGAGAGTCTTTTTGCCTTTCCCGCTGAGACAGTACCTATTGATCTACTCACATTTCCATGTTTTCTAACTGCTAGATTGGCAGGAGCTAGGGCTAACAATGGGAGCTCACCTCGTCCTGTGGATTTGAACTACCAACCTATCAGGTCAGTAGTTCAGCAGCACAAGGGTTTAACCCATTGCACCACCACAATGTGTGTGTGTGTGTGTAAAAAATCAAAAGTCAGGAAATTAACTGTATAATGTCAGAATCCCACCAACATATCTTGCTTCCCAACAATAAAAAATAAAAAATAAAAATAGTTTTCTGCTATATCAGAACACAAAAAAACTTCTTTCTCAAGTGATTTTCTCACAGGCCTGATGGAAAAGGTGAAAACTACCAGTGAAGTACAAGGAAATCCCTTGAAAACAACATGACATGAAAACTTATACTCCAAACCACAGCATTAGACCAAGGGACCTTCACATTATAAAAATATAGCAGTATGATTCCACTTTAACTGCCATCATGTTTGCATTTTATGGAACCCACAGTTTTTATTTTGGTGAAACACTAGGATTCTTTGGCGAAGAACTGTAAATATCCCTCAATAAAATGCAAATTCCGTTATTCCACAGGATGGCATTATCAGGTTGGCACTATCTCCCAGATCTCTATTTGTGGCTGTTAATAAGGGATCCCCCTTCCTATCAGGTTGGCACTATCTCCCAGATCTCTATTTGTGACTGTTAATAAGGGATCCTCCTTCCTTGTCTTAAAGGATATCAGTTATGTTACCATCTCTACGAGCAATCAAACTGAATTGACACAAACTCCAGCAACTGATTTCATCAAAAAAGTAAAATAAATGCACTACATTTAAAACTGTGAAACAAACAAACAAAAGGAGATCCTAAGAAGAAGGGGTGTTGCAAAGGAGCATTTATTAAATCCTTTATTTTCATTCTGAATCATCTTGAAGACCTGTGACGTGGTATTGGGAAAGAAAGAAAATCCCTTTATACTATTTCCTTGTGCAGGAATTTCACTATCATCATGTTAATTTTGTAGATGTCACAATAGACACCATGAAAATAATTCCATACAGTATCAAGTAGTTATTCTAAGTTCCATTTTTTCCTAATAATCCCAAAAGAAAAGACAAGACATGTTTGAAATTAATGCAATAAATGAAATAAATGGTAGCCCTATCTTCCTTCTGTCACTCTCCTCAAGTGGAGAGCTTCTGCTATTCATGGAGACTCTCTCTATAGAGACTTACTGATATTTCACAGTTCAGGATCATGTGGAACTGGGGCATTTTCTTAGCCCCACCAGCACTTGGTTGAATCCCTGACACATCACACTGCCAACATATACTGTGCTGGTACGGCTGTACCAGGAGCTCCAACTTTATTTTCTTTCTGTTATCTGTTTGCAGTCATAGGACAGGCCTCCTGTCCATCATAATTAAGCTTTGGTTCCGCCCCTTGTTCTGGGCTCTGGGAGGGAAAGGAGCCATTTTTTGGGCAGTCTCACACAAGGTAGCTAAGCTATAGGACGTAGACCAGCTCGTCCCGTAGAAAAGCTTCTTTTCTCAAGAACATCCGGGGAAACAGAAACAGAAATTCCAGGGAAAGGTCCCAAGGCTCTGGCTGAGAGCTCACAGCCTCTCAGCCTCACAGCAATCAGGGGGAAAACAGCCCTGAAGTTTCAAAGAATTCTCGGAGGGAGGACAGCATTACAGATCCACTGAACTCCAGCTGAAATATCTTCAAGCCTCGGCTGGTAGGTCTACTTGATACCCAGATGCATTTGGAATCAGTAGTAGCACCCACACCGATGAGGCATAGATAGAAAGCAGCCTGGGAGAGGTTAAAAAGAGTTTTTCCTACAGAGAAAGTTTAGTTAATCAAAGTCAGGTGCTAGTCCATTGAGGACTAGACTAAGAAAGCCTTGAAGTGTTGTTGAACCTTTGAAGATTTGTTGTTTGTTCCATAATAAAGACTTTGTTGTATCATTAAAGACTCTAAAGACCATCACTTCAGAAAAATCCCTAAGAATCTCTTTGAGGCGCCCCTGGCTTCCCGCTGGGCTTAAAGTATACGTCCTGTAGAAAAGTACAACTGTTACAGGCCCAGCACGTGACAGAACATATAGTGTAGTTCCCTCCTCATCCATCCAGCCTACAGTATAAGCATAAACCAGAATTTGGTAGGTTCTTCGGCATCATTTTCCTTTCCTTTATCCTTTATCTCCTTTGTTAGAAGCCCCTGGTGGCCAATGGGTTAAACCCTTGTGCCGGCAGGACTGCTGACCAAAAGGTCAGCAGTGCAAATCCACGGAGTGGGGTGAGCTCCCATCTGTCAGCTCCAGCTTCTCATGTGGGGACATGAGAGAAGCCTCCCACAGGATGATAAACCAAGTTGGCATAAGATAAGCCAGCCTGAATGTTATATAGTAACAGTTTTATTTATTCATCATCGTAAAAGCCGAATGTAACAATATTCAAGAAAGTACTGTGAAGAAAATACTGTGTAACCAATACGCTTTGTGTGCCTGAGAATCCATAAATAAACATTTCTTTGTTCAATTCTTACAATAAAGACTTGTGTCAAGTTACTGAATTGAAGATATACTCCAAGGAAGATGGCTGAAGATCATATTGGAGCTGAATACAGTACAGTATTAGGTTGCACATTAAAGTACAAGCATTTTAAAAGTCAAGCCTTTAACAAACATATATATAAATAAAAAGGCACACAGCCATTACTACACTACTCTCAATTCTTCACGTATTTATTGGTGGCAGCGTTCCACTCTCTATCCTGACCCCAGGAAATTGCTTGTTCCAGGTCTATTTTTATTTCCTTGAAGACCTTACTACTAGAATAACAAAGGTGCTTGCTTAGAAAAAGAGAGGTCACCACCCTTCTGAATTTGTGTGAACAATATGATATGCTGGCAGCTAAGCAAATGAGATTGTGGAGGCATGGTGGTTTGGTAATCTACAGCTGAAAAGACTTTCCATAGCAGATGCCAATTGGCCTAAATTAGCTTGAACTTTCAACTTTACACTGAGTTCCCCTGAAAAATGTGGAGAAAGGGGAAAGGAAAACGAGAATATGTCAGTCATGTGCAGACAGAAGCAGAGAGGAAAGGGGAACATTCAGAACAGACAACAGTAAATGAATAGTTGTCAAATGAAATTTACATAATCTCATGAATGCTCACCGAAGAGGAAGACTGGAGGAGAGAAAAAAGGAACATATTGGAGTTCCTTGCTAGACTTGTTCCTGCCATCTTTGCAGCAGACATACAAACATTTTGTCATTAGAACACATATTTTTAAAAGGGCTCAGAGTGTCAGTTCTTAGCTGATTAATTGATTTCTTCCTATCAATTTTCTTTACTGTCTAGTTTTCACAACCGTACATAGAAATGGGAAATACAATGCCATGGACCATCCTAACTTGGTTATTAATGGACCATGCATTTCTTACTAAATCTTGTTTATTCTGAAGAGTTGTGACATGAAGCCCAATCCAACCTTGGACCAAACTGGTCATCATGCCTAGAAATAAATCTGTGGCCATTTAGTAACCAACCACTTCCTATTTAAAATTCTAATGAGGTATCCACCCTCTGAGCATTCACAAATCTGTATGCCCTAGTGACAAATCATTTGTGTATCTGCTGCCAGGATGGGAGGAACAAGTCTAACAACAAGTTCCAAGAAGCTCTACTCATCCCTTCTGAGCCTCCTTTTTCTTCTTCTCCAGTCTGCCTCTGGACAGGAGCTGAAGTTTGTGCTCTTAGTAAGTACAAGAATGGAGAAGGCTTCTTTAATTATTTTGTTTTATGTGTTCTTCCACATTTTTATGTATGGTGGTCAAATCCTGACTCCACAGGATAAAACAGCTACAGAAAATAAAGATTTTACCACTTCTTTCCTTCTATATGGTGATGGAACCTCTTCAAGTTATTTAGTGTTTCAAATGTTAACAACATGTGCATTATGAATCTGAAAATAGATACCTGTCATGATCTAGAGGCTCCTTTATTCATGTATTTTTACATAATTTTGAATTACAAGTAGTATTTCCTTTAGTGAAGGTCACATACTGTATATACTCAAGTATAAGCTGGGTTTTTCAGCCCTTTTTAGAGGCTAGAAAATCCCCTCAGTTTATAGTCAAGTCAAAGTTATTTATCATTTTACTCTGTTATTATTATTTTATTACATGTATTATTTTACTCTATTTATTATTGTTGTTGTTATTATTACATTTATTTTTACTCTATTATAATTACATTTATTATTTTACTTTATTTTTACTGTTATTATTACATTGCCATTATTTTACTCTATTGTTGTTATTTTTATTACATGTAGTATTTCACTCTCTCGGTTATTATTGGAAGGCTACATAAGCACATATACTTTGAAGAAGGTCAGAATAATGGTTTAATCAGAGTTGAACAGTCTTATCTTAAATTACAGTTTTATGTAAATATTCAAAAACATTTAACTTACTGATGCCTAAATTAATATAATTGTATCTATTTTTATTTTGAGATTTACCAGTAGCTACTGCATTTCCCACCCTCGGCTTATACTTGAGTCAATAAGTTTCCCCACTTTTTTGTGGTAAAATTAGGTTCCTCAGCTTATATTCGGGTAGGCTTATACTCAAGTAAAAACAGTACTTTATTTAGAGGCTTTTAGAAGGACAAGAAGCAATAATGCCAAAATGGAAAAAATGAAAGGGCATAGACATGACAGTGTAATCCGTCATGGTCTTCCAATATATTGAGCTTGTCTGTCATTTATTTTATATTCCAACATAGTTAGTGAAAATATGGATCAAATCCAGAAAAGCATTAATAGTTCTTAAAGTTGTGAAATGCCCTATTAGATGTGTAAGATCAGCATTTCTCAACCTGGGGGTTGGGACCCCTGGGGGGGTCACAAGGGGGGGTCAGATGGGTCACCAAAGACAATAAGAAAACACAGTGTTTTCTGTTGGTCATGGGGGTTCTGTGTGGGAAGTTTAGCCCAATTCTATCATTCTTGAGGTTCAGAATGCTCTTTGATTTTAGGTGAACTATAAATCCCAGCAACTACAACTCCCAAATGTCAAGGACTATTTTCCACAAACTCCACCATTGTTCACATTTGGGCATATAGAGTATCCTTGCCAAGTTTGATCCAGATCCATCATTGTTTGAATTCTCAGTGCTCCCTGGATGTAGGTGAACTACAACTCCCAAAACTCAAGGTCAATGCCCACCAAACCCTTCCAGTATTTTCTGTTGGACATGGGAGTTCTGTGTTCCAAGTTTGGTTCAATTCCATCATTGGTGGAATTCAGAAATCTCTTTGATTGTAGGTAAACTCTAAATCCCAACAACTACAATCCCAAATAACAAAATCTACCCCCCCCCCCCACACACACACACACAACCTCACCAGTATTCAAATTCTGGCATTTCGGGTATTTGTGCCAAATTTCGTCCAGTGAATAAAAATAAATCCTGCATATTACATATATACATTACAATTCATAACAGTAGCAAAATTACAGTTATGAAGTAGAAACTAACATAATTTTATGTTTGGGGGTCACCACAACATGAGGAACTGTATTAAGGGATCTCGGCATTAGGAATGTTGAAAACCACTGTGTAAGATGAACCAAGAAAGTGTGAAAGTATTTGGGCCTACAAGTCAGCAGATACACAGCTCATAGCCTTTGTAGTGTACTGTTCCTTGAATGGGGATTGTAGGAATGTTTAATGAATAAATATGAAATTAGAAGTAGTTTTCTCAATCTGGGACAAGGAGTCCGAGTCTCAGGGTTAAATTTCAAGAGTTAGTCGTAGCTAGGGTCATCTCACTGAAACAATTGGATACATGTTATTATTATTATTAAACTTTATTTGTACCCCGCTAGCATCTCCCACAGGACTCGATGCGGCTTACAGAGGCCAAGGCCTCAACACAACAACAGCAAAACAATAACAATACAATTTAAAGCAAATTAAAAACATAAGCAATAACAAAACTTGATTTTCCAAATTTACAAACATACCATCCTAAACCCATCTGAAATTATTTTTTAAACTAAGTATATCTCTACTTATACAAAAAAATGTACTCACTTCATAACTGCCTTGATTCTGACACACAATGTATGACTCTTTTTAGTAGTGAAAACATTTCTTATCGATCTTAATGCGATATACAAAAACTCATTTCTTATTCCACAGTTTCCAGGAAAATTGAAAGTGTTGTGTTTTGTTATGTTGAACTGTCTGGATTATGATAGTTTTATGGGAAGGGTTCCTCAGTACAAAAACTGCCATTCTTGTTTTACATGTCAATTGCTTCTTGTTGCGGTTTATGCTTTCTCTCATTCAATATCTCTTCATTTTTGGACTGGGAAGTGGTGGTTTCATTTGTTCCTCAAACAAAACCAGTTGCCCTGAGCAAAAAGGAAGTGTTGGGGACCTCCCCGCCCAACCACTTCCCAAAACACTCACAAAAAAACAAAAAACAGAGAAAGGAAAGAAATGCCTTTGATTTTCTGCCTCCTTTATTTTTGCACTGGAAAGGGGCCATGTGAAGGGAAGCCCCTGACTCTTCCTTTCTGATCAAATCCACTCAGGACCGCAGTCTTCCTAGCCAAGCAGCTTCCCAGCAAAGCCCCACTGGGAAAATCAGTTGCTCAGAACAAGGTGGCCAGGGTCGACTGGGCTACTTTCCCACATGGCTAGGCTCCTTGTTCTGATGTCCAAGCTAGGCTCCTTGTTCTGATGACCCTGGGCTTCCTCAACAGGGGACATGTTAAGGTAACTATCCAAAGTTTTGGGCCTGTTTGGAGGGTAGGATTCAGAAACTTGGATAACTCCTTCAAAAAATTGAGCAAAATCCAGAATCGGAGGCTTTTATGACTAGAATCCCTGGAGTGTTGTGCGGTTTCTGGGCTGTATGGCTGTGTTCTAGCAGCATTTTCTCCTAATAATTTGCCTTCATCTGTGACTGGCATCTTCAGAGGATCTAATGGTAGTAAGGCAAGTCGAGTATATATGCCTATGGGATGTCCATAGTAGGAGAAAGAACTAATGGGTTGCTGTGAGTTTTCTGGCTTGTATTGCCTTGTTCCAGAAGCATTCTCTCCTGCTGTTTCACCCACATCTATGGCAGGCATCCTCAGAGGCTGTGACCTCACAACCTCTGAGGATGCCTGCCATAGATGTGGGTGAAACGTCAAGAGAGAATGTTTTTGGAACATGGTCATACAACCCAGAAAATTCACAGCAACCCAATTATTCCGGCTATGAAAGAACTCATGCCTATTAACCTAGTGCAGTGGTTCTCAACCCATGGGTCCCCAGGTGTTTTGGTCTACAACTCCCAGAAATCCTAGCCAGTTTACCAGCTGTTAGGATTTGTGGAAGTTGAAGGCCAAAACATGTGGGGACCCACAGGTTGAGAACCACTGACCTAGTGTGAAGGGTGCAATTAGCAGCCTGATTTGCAAGTGTTTGAGTGGGATTCATCCATTAGCAAGCACTTGCAAATCAGACTTACCAATTGCACCCTTCACACTAGGTTAATAGACATTTGTTCTTACTCCCACCCTGGACATTCCACAGGTATATATATACTCCACTTGCATTATCACCATCAGATCCTCTGAAGATGGCAATCACAGATGAAGACAAAATGTCCGGAGAAAATGCTGCTAGAACACAGCCATACAGCACAGAAACCACACAGCAATCTGAAATCCAGAGTCACTATATTACACCATTGCTAGAGAAGCCATGAGTCATCAGTAATTTTAGCCTACAATTCTCATCAGCCCTGCTCAGCATAGTCAAAAGTAATGGGTCTTGGGAGGTATAGTCCTGAACATCTGTAAAGTATGTGGTTTCCTACCCCTAATATAAACAATCAGGTATACATTTATTATTCAAAGTTAATTCATTTTACAAACTGCTTTTAGACATTTGCCCTGGTTAGAAACAATACTGGGATATATAATTAAATGCATCAGTTATCTTCTTGTAGTTCCAGTTTTTAATTAAAAGTTCAGAGTTCATAATGGGTGTTAGCCAGAAGAAGCACTGTTGATGGGTAATTATGATTCGAGCTTTAGATACATCTCTTCAGATGTCCAACTTAGTTCAAATGTGTGATGCACAAATGTCCAAATAACCATAAAGTCAGGAAACTGCATCAAATTTCAACAAAGTGAAATATTCAAATAAGTGATTTAGTTAGTAAGGTATATACCCTGCTTTCCAATGCACAAGTAGAAGCAGCTCACAATAGTTTAAAGCTTCTGTACAATATAAACCATAATTCTAAAAAAGTGGAACAATAAAACAAATTGTAAAAGCATTTTGAAAAATCTAAATCAATACATATCCGAATTATTATTATTATTATTATTATTATTATTATTATTATTATTACACTTTATTTATCTTCTGCTTTATCTCCCCAGAGAGAGTCAGGGTGGATTACAATATACACATATGAGGCAAACATTCAATACCTTTTACACACAGTGAACAACAACATACAACAAAGACAAAGTAAAGCCCCCCTTTTTTCCATCCCTGGTGTCTGGAAGTGACGCTCAACTCTGGCCATGGGGAGGTGCTGTTGTTCCATTTTTCCATGCTGAGGTGCCTGCTGTCCATAGACATCTCCGAATGTGTTGCCAGCATAACTGCATATCTGCCTAAGGAGCCCTTTTACCTTCCCACTAAGGTGATACCTATTAATCTACTTGCACTGCATGCTTTTGAACTGCTGGGTTGACAGGAGCTGGGCCGACAATCGGGAGCTCGCTCTGACTTGCAGATTCCAACTGCCAACTTTCTGCTCAGTAGATTTCTTGCAGCTAGTCATTTAACCCGCTGTGCTACCATAGCCCTTTCCATGCAATTGTCTTTTTGTTAATAAGAAAGGAAGAGCACGCAGTCCTATTTATAAAATTTCATGAATGCTAATTTACCAATATCAAATAACAAACCTAGCAGTTCTCAAAGTTGTTCCCATAGGTGTTACTGGACTACAACTTTACGCACTTCTGACTATTTGCTATGCTGGATAGAGGTTCTGGGAGTTGAAATTCCAATAATATTTAGGATTTAAAATCTGGGACTGATCTAGACTATGATCAGGCACATTGTGTGCACTTCTCATTCCAAACATCTTTGATTTCTCATATTTCCCATTATCTTCTGAAACTTAAAATTTGGAATAAAAACCTATAAAATGGTTACTTTACATGCCACATTTGGCTTAAGTATAAACTACTCCACTGAACATTAGGTTATCTCAAGGTGTCAAAATCAATAATGGAGAAGAAGGAGGAGAAAATAAAGTTGTTATGAGACTTCATTGCCGCCCTAGTTGCACCACATTCTTTTGTAATACAGGAAGAACAACACTGTAAAGCAAATGTGACACGCAGATTTAAGGAGGCATTTGTGCCAGGAGTCAAACCCACTCCATTTTTGTCTAAGCATATTCATATAAACTCTGTGGAATTAACTAACAATAAATAAGACCGGTAACAGTGTAAACAGCAGCTTCCTCAATGACTGTTCTGACTTTGCTAGGGCTGAACCTACCCTTATATAGGTCTTTGTAAACATCTGGCTGGAAAATCAGCTGGGAAACTTATATATGCTGCCAGAAGATTTCGAAGAACAACAAACAACAAATGAAATCAGTGGTCATTTATTGATGATGGTGGTGTCGTTGTGGTGGTATTGTTGTTTGCCTTCAAGTCAGTTCTGACCCTAAGGTGAACCTATCATTGCGTATTCTTGGCAAGAATTATTCAGAAAGGGTTTGTCTTTGCCTTTGCCTTCCTCTGAGACTGAGAGGGTGTGACTTACTCAAGGTTAACATGTAGTCAAGCAGCGATTCACATCCTGGTCTTCCCAGTGTCCTAGTACAATACTCAAATATTACATCATGCTAGTCATATTGATGATAATAATAATACTTTATTTATAGACTGCCCTCTCTCTCCAGGAGGACTCATGGGAGAGAGGGAAGTCTATAAAGGCAAAAAAGACAAACATGCCATGCCCACACTCAAATATAAACAATTTTAAATAAACAGGATAATACAAAAATAATCATCATAAACTTGTGAAAAAAGGGAAATTAACACCAAAATGAGAACCAAATATGAATAATCGAATGAACCTAATTATACTAATAACATAAATTAACTATTTAAACATAAAACTTAGAAAAAGTAATTAAAATTCATTAAAATGGCTATCAAGGTTGTTCTTCTCATGTACCATAGCAGTAGTGGAATACAGATAGGTTAGCCGGCATTCTGGTGGAACTGAATTATCCTATTCCTCCTCCTCTCCGTAAGCTAAAGTGCACAAGTACATTTTTAAGAGCTTTTTAAAGGAGAGAAGTGTGGGAGCTGTTTTTAGTTCTTTAGGGAGGGAGTTCCAGAGACAGGAAGAGATCAGGGAGAAGGCCCCCCATTCTTGTTCCCATCAACCACACTTGTAACAAGGGTGGGATCAAGAGGAGGGCCTCCTCTACTGACTGAAGGGACGAAATGGTCTGTATAGGGAGATGCAGTTGGAGAAATAGCCTGGACCGAAATCATCATTTGTTGACAAGCACCACGCAAAATGATAGTCAGGAAAATTTCTAGGTAATATTCTTCATCTTTAGTTTTCTTTCCCTTTTTCTTCTTATCAGCTATCAATGTTGTCATTTTCTCTTGTTCAAAGATTGGCATTCAAAGAGGTTCACAATTTAAAAGAACAATACAATGATAAACATTCAAAAAGTCAATATTAAAACGGAATTAAATTAATTACAATATTATTTACAATCAGAAAGTTCCTTGTGGATACAAGCTTGTGGAATCTTGACCTGAAAACCGATTTTCCACTTATCTGTAAAATAATGGTCAACTTGTAACAAACAGAAAATAAAGTGAACTAACATTCTTTTCAAATCATAGATTTATCGACATGGTGACAGAAGCCCCATTGAAAATTATCCTACCGACCTACACAATGAAAGTGAGTGGCCGCAAGGATTTGGACAACTAACTAAGGTTTGTTTGCTTCTCATAGATAATATGTCTGGCCTAAAACTATTTAGGCATTTGTAACTAACAAAGCATTCATTTTTCAACTGAAATTTCACAAGAGGGATGGATTTCATGCTCTCCTGATGAATTTTCTTTAGAGTATTTCTACTTATGGATCAACTGACAAATAGCTCAACAAATAATTGATTTGACAATAAAGTTCCCTGCCTTCAGACTCAAATTTAATTAAAACAGGACACACTGGGAAAGTGGAATAGCGGTGTGGAGGAGAATTAAGTCCAACACATACTGGCTGCTCTTCTCTCCCTCATAGGGCTGAGCAATGGCAGCTTCAATCTGGAGGAAGGGGCTCTCACTAGTTGCTGGCGAAAAGGCAAAATGAAGCTGTACCTCGCTGCTCATGTTCTTGAACTGCAATTCCAGCAGCTCTAACTACCCTAGCCAATAGTCAGGTGCTGGGAATTACAATACAAAATCTTCTGGAGAGATCCTATTTTCTATCCCTACTTTCTAGCTTACAATTGTGTACTGTCACCTATAAATTCTTTGCATCAAAGTAGTGATCAAATCTTAGATTAGGGTTGGGAAACCAAATGTAAGTTATCTAAAGTACAGAGATCAGCAACTTATTCAAAGTTCAAAAATCAGCAACTTGTTCAAAAGTACAGAGATCAACAAGTTATTTAGAGCTCAAGTAAATTTTCTCCTAAATAAATTTTCCCTGATACAGTTCCTACAATCTAAGAATATTTAATAAAGTTATTCCCTATACACATTTTATTTTAGTTATACAACAAACTGGGGAATTCTGAGAATTAAAGTCTTTAAAAGTTAATGTTGCCAAACTCTGAACAACAGTGCAGTATAAAACAAGTATAAACAAACACATTCCTTCTGTATGCTATACACATTTTATAGGATTCATAATATATCATTTCCTAATCTGAAATCTTAATTCTGAATCTGCAAAATCCTACTCCAATTGTGTAGGATGTTTATCCTGAATTAGTGGGGAAGTCTTGACTTTGTTAGAGATTCAGTGACAAGGGGTTTTCAATGCTATTAATATGAGATCAGGCTTCTAACCAAATGAACCCTCAAATTAAAAGAAGTCCTTTTCTTTTCAAAAATACGATTATGAAAAATATGAGCCTTGATTTTCCCATTTCATATAAGCCATTTCACTAAGCCATTGTATGTAATGGGGCTTGAGCACCCACAGAGTTTGGTATCCATGGGGGTCCTGGAGCCAAAACTCAACCGAAACCAAGGACTCACTTCATACCACTGATAATAAAACAGATAATGATTATCTGGAATTTTTCACACCAATACATGGAAAAAGAAAGCTGATGTTCTGTCAGATCCTTCTGATCTCTACAAAGCCCCTAGTTTAGGAGATACATTGGGACCATAAATGTCCCACAATGCCCATTGATCATTCAGCAGTCCCTGAAATAAACAGGAGTATGTTTGGTTGACAGTTCCACCCACACAAGAGCTGTCTCTGACACAAAGTAGAATTGTTATATCTCATGGGAGAGAAGAAACATCAGCCAGCTACTTCTCATTTGGCAGGAGAACAGACACAGACACACACACATCAATCAGGACTGGGTTGTGGCACAGTTGGCTAGAAGTCAGCTGCATTAAGATTACCACTGACCGAAGGTAATGAGTTCGAAACCAGCCTGGGTCAGAGTAATCTCCCGATCATTTCTCTAGTTTGCTGTCAACCTTTGCAGCCCAAAAGACAGTTGCATCTGTCAAGTAGGAAATTTAGGTACCGCTTATGCGGGGAGGCTAATTTAACTAATTTACAATGCCATAAAAATCTCCAGCAGTGGGCAAAAGAATGAGGAAGTACTCCATCAAGGACTCAGTGCCACAAGTGGACTGTGAAGCGACAGCTTCCCCGGTGGCCACTATTCGAGCGTACCATCATGAAGCTTAAATTGTCTCTGTGTTTGTCTATATATGTTGTGTGTCTATGGCATTGAATGTTTGGCATGTATATGTGCTCTGTAATTTGCCCTGAGACCCCCGCGGGGTGAGAAGGGCAGAATATAAACACTGTAAATAAATAAATAAATAAATAAATATGTAGCAGTAACTACAGTACTTACACATTTATAGCTCCATAGCAACACCAGCTGCACAGAAAACTCACCATCTTTACAATCTGGTCATATTTACTATCTTTTTTGCCATCACATACTTGCTATTTTCAGTCACAAGAAAATGTATATTATTGAATTTCTTGTTAAGATCATAATTATATTGTTGTTCCCACAGATTGGAATACAGCAGCATTATGAGCTTGGGCAATACATAAAGAACAGATACTCCAATTTCTTGAGTAGTACCTACAAACGGGAAGAGGTGTGTACTAGAACATCTATCTATCTACCTACCTACCTACCTATCTATCTATCTATCTATCTATCTATCTATCTATCTGTCTATCTATCTATGGTTTTCTCCAAAGTGTAGCTTAAAATTATTATAATAAAAAGGGGTTTTTTTAAATTAAACTACCTTATTTAAAAAAACCTCTACTCTAAACCAGCTTAAAGACATTTTAAATATAATGTATGAGGGAAAGATATCTCCAGATATGGACAGATATTAGCAGTTGGGCTCATGGCCAGGGCCGGCCCGTCCATTACTCGAAGTAAGCGGTCGCGGAATACTTTTTTTGCCAGGGGGCGCTGTTCTGTCCTTAGGCCACGCCTCCTCCTGCAGGCCCCATGCGCCCTCAACAGCCTTCTAATGGAGAAGCGCAGGCCCCGCCCACTAGGCGAGAGGGAAGTCCTCCCTCCACGTGCTGCCAGGAGGCAGCCAGCCAGGCTCTTTCGCTTTCCCTTTCCTTCCCTGCAGCTGAGCCTGGACCCCTCTCAGGGCAGCAAGGAGGCCTGGTCAAAAGGTACTGCAAATGTCATCTTTTGTACATGCCTCCCCCAAACCCCTCTAGTATTTGGTAATGGAAGTCCTATATGCCAAGCTTGGTTCAATTCTATTGTTGGTGGAGCTCAGAATGTTCTTTGGTGCTTGGTAAACTGCAATTCCCAAATGTCAGGGTCTATTTTTCCCAACCACCTCTCCAGTATTTTCTGTTAGTCATGGAAGTCCTGTATGCCAAGTTTGGTTCAGTTCTATTATTGGTGGAGCTCAGAATGCTCTTTGGTGCTTGGTGAAGCATTCTCACCTGATGTTTCAACCACATCTATGGCAGGCATCCTCAAGAGGCTGTGAGGTCTGTTTGTAACTAGGCAAGTGGGGTTTGTATATCTGTGAATGTCCAGGGTGGGAAAAAGAACTCATGTCTGCTTGAGGTAAGTGTGAATGTTGCAATTGGTCATCTTGATGAGTATTTAATGGCCTTGCAGCTTCGAAGCCGAGCTAGTTGCTGCCCAGGAATCCTTTGTTGGGAGCGGTTAACTGGCCCTGATTGCTTCATGTCAGGAATTCCCCCCTTTTTTAGTGTTGCTCTTTATTTATTGTTCTGATTTTAGAGGGTTATTTTAGAGGGTACTGGTAGCCAGATTTTGTTCCTCTGAGGTTGCCTGCCATAGATGTGGGGAAAATGTCAGGAGAGAATGCTTCTGGAACATGGTCATACAGCCCAGAAAACTCACAGCAACTCAGTGATTCTGGCCATGAAAGCCTTCCACAACACATTATTATGTTTATTTATACCCTGCTTTTTCTCTCCCCAAGAAGACTCAAGTTGGCTTAGATTAAAAACATTTCAGTACAGTTTAAAATCCACAAATATGCAAACATTAAAATGGAATTAAATATCATTGGTATTTTAAAAATTCAGTTAAAATCCATAAAAAACATATCCAAAACTAAAAACTGCAGCAGACCCTGACTTGATCTTTAAAACCTTTTAAAGCCTGCATTAGATTACCAAATGTAATGTCCCTTTATACACACTGCTTTATATTAATTTCCCCAGTATTCCTTTATCTGATTTGTCATCAACACACTTAATGGACTGCAAAAATATGATCCTGTGTGATTCCTTTCCATTGCTGGCCGAATAGTTTAAATTTGGATAATATTTTGACTTTGATATTTTAGCAATTACATTTTGCAGCAGTGTCTTTTGGGTTGCTAACTCTTGTCCTTCCACTTATCCTTCCATCAGTTCCAGGGCTCAATCCCAACTGCTGTTGGACGAGACACTATGGAGCTCTATATTTATATTTCCACAGTACAAAGTGGCAAAATCAAAGACTGCTTTGGGATTTTTTAAAAAAATGTTTTCAAACCATGGATGGTTGAAGCAGTGGTTGCAGAACACCAACTGTGTAACACTGTCACTGTACGAGTAAAGCAACAACAAAATGCTCCCCTGCCCTTAGGTGTATAATTTAATTAAAACATGACACAAAGGCAAAGGGATGCCAGTGTGGGAAGGGATGAAGGGCCTGTCCAGACAGGCCCTATATCCCAGGATGTGATTGCAGGTTTTCTGTTTATCCTGGATTATCTGGCAGAGTGGACTCATATGATCCAGTTTAAAGCTGAAAACCTGGGATTTATTTATTTATTTGTCATGTCAGAACAACCAGTCAAATTATGTTACATTTCTAACAGAACAAAGCAAAACAAGCAGATTACAAAATTTGTGAGTATGGTAGTTGATTAAATGTCCTTTGATCAGTATCTGGCCACTTGGAGTGCTTCTGGTGTTGCCGCAAGAAGGTCCTCCCTTGTGCATGTGGCAGGGCTCAGGGTTCATTGCAGCAGGTGGTCAGTGGTTTGCTCCTCTCCACACTCGCATGTCGAGGATTCCACTTTGTGGCCCCATTTCTGAAGGTTGGCTCTGCATCTCGTGGTGTCCGAGCGCAGTCTGTTCAGCGCCTTCCAAGTCGCCCAGTCCTCTGTGTGCCCAGGGGGGAGTCTCTCATCTGGTATCAGCCATGGGCTGAGGTGCTGGGTTCGAGGCTGCCACTTTTGGACTCTCGCTTGCTGAGGTGTTCCAGCGAGTGTCTCTGTAGATCTTAGAAAACTATTTCTAGATTTAAGTCGTTGACGTGCTGGCTGATACCCAAACAGGGGATGAGCTGGAGATGTCTCTGCCTTGGTCCTTTCACTATTGGCTGCCACTTCCCGGCGGATGTCAGGTGGCGCAATACCGGCTAGGCAGTATAATTTTTCCAGTGGTGTAGGGCGTAAACACCCTGTGATAATGCGGCATAGGGCCTGTCTGGAAGGGCTCCATGGCTTCACATGCCACCTGTTTCTCCAAGGCCAAAGCAGTGGCAGTTGGATGGAAGGAGGGCTCTTCATCTGCTTCTGGGTCAAGCACATGCAAGAGCAAACTTCAGCCCTCCAGGTGTTTCGGACTTCAACTCCCACAATACCTAACAGCCGGTCTAGCAGTTTGTAATGTAATACAGGTTGAGTATCCCTGATCCAAAGTGCTTTGAACTAGAAGTGTGTAAATCACTTTGAGTCCTCCTGAGGGTGAGAAAAGCGGTATACAAATACTGTAAATAAATAAATAAAATGTTTGGGATCATGGGATAGCTGTTTACATACACAATGACACATTTCAAAGATAGCACCCAAGATGAAACACAAAAGAGGCATGCACGAGGCCTCTTTTCCCACGTGCCCGGCAATGCCGCTGCGCATCCCTCTCTCGGCATTAGGAAATGTGCGCCCTGCATCGCCCTCCTTCTCCATGCACTTCCTAACGCTGGGAGAAGGATGCACACTGGCGTTGTTGTCTCCCTTGGCCTGCAAGGAGGAGGAGGAGAGGAGGACAATGTGCGCACTTGTGAGGGAAGGATGGAGGGAGAGCATGCTCCCTGCATGAGGGCTCTTTTTCCGTGCGCCTGGTAATGCCGGCGCGTGTCCCTCTCCCGGAGTTGCAAAGCGTGTGGGGGAAGAGAATGCAAAGCGCATACCCAGGAGCCGATGGAGCACAGGGCCTCTTCTCCTGTGTGAAGAGGGGCAGCATTGCAAGTGCCTCTCCAGGCAGCTGTGCCATCACCCCTCTCAGGGCGGCAAGGAGGTTTCTTCATGAACGGAAGTGACTGAAGGTACTGCAAATCTAAATTATTGTACATGTTTCCCCAAAACCCCTCCAGTATCAGAGTCTATTTTCCCCAAATCCCTTCAGTATTTTGTGTTGGAACTACATCAACACTGACAAAGAAACAACAAGAAATACTATTTACCCACAAGCATTAAGAAATTACATATATTAGAAACCAACTTTCTTATTACTTTTTTTTCAAGATCACTAGACTGGATCACAGCAACGCGTGGCAGGGGATGGCTAGTGTGTGTGTGTGTGTATGTATGGCTGGCATGGGCCAACTTCAGCCCTCCATGTGTTTTGGACTTCAATTCCCACAATTCCAAACAGCCAGTAGGAAATCCTAAATACCTGGAGGGCCAAAATTTGTCCATGCCCCCATAGATAGATAGATAGATAGATAGATAGATAGATAGATAGATAGATAGATAGTGATTGGTTTTGGGGAGGGGGGGGGGCGCCAAAATACTGTTTGCTTACCATTGAAAATTACCTAGGGCCGCCTCTGCTCATGGCTTCATTTAAATCAGGCTGGGTAACTTGGAGCCCAGATGCCCTGGTATATCAGCCATAGCATTCCTAGCCAATAAGGAGGGATGATGCTAATTGGTATCCAACAATAACTGGAAGCGTATAAGTTGCCTGTTTCAAATGGCTATTTGAGATAAGAATGAAAGGAGCCAGTCACAAACACATGGCAAAATCAATAAAGTTTTGCCCTTTCAAATTCCACAAAAAATTAAATCTCCTTCTGTCCTTTAATAACACAGGGCTGCAATGAATTTTTTTTTCAATATTGTCGCTATTTTAATGTATTTTGGTGTGTTGAATTTGAAAACCACAATAAAAACATCATACATGAAGTTCTTTCAATAATTTGATATTTTTATCAATTCAGTTTTTATTCAGTTTTGATTTAAGGGTAGACGCTGATGTTCCAGTGAGGGTTCATGGATTTTTGTGTTTCATATCAGGGCATTAAAGTGGTTTGAAAGTCTATTAGAAGTTTTTACCCCTTTCTGACAGGTTAGTCTTTTCTCCCCAAAGAAATCTTTCTCAGTCACATATTACAAAATAAAAATGCCAAAGCAAGTTATTTAGAAAACCCCAATGTGATGGGGCAAATCTGAGGTCATTTTTTGGACTTGGAATGCCACATTCTTATAAAATGGGTATTATTTGAAGATTTTAACCCATTTCTTACTGTTTAATCTTTACTCCCTAAAGAAATCTTAATCACATATCACAAAATAATAATGCCAAAGCAAGTAGTGAAATGCACTGTATGTGCTGGAGTGTATCTGAGGCTATTTTACTTAGTATGCCAAATTCCTATAAAACATTTTTAAACATTGTTGTGATTTGCAGAATTGTGTGATGCTCCTTAGGTTTTTTGTTTGTTTTGGTTTGTTTATCCTTAATACCAATTATTATGGCTATCCTGACTGGGATATTAAAGAAAATGCAATGCTCCCAGACTGCAATCCTTCCAACTGTTCTCACCACTTGTAGCCATTCAGTTTCTTTTTTTCCAATATGCCATTTTCCTTCCCTCTGTTACTTAATATTAATGAGTCAAATACATTCTGTGTTATATGTATCATAAATTCTGAGAATCCTGACATCCCAGAGAGCATTTACATGACTCAACATAGACCGTAATGGCACTGAGACTTACTTACTTACTTACTCAGGCTATCCCTCATTGTCCAAGTAGGATTGTCTTCCAAAATCGGTGTACTGGCGGTGGGTCCATAGGTGACTGTGGAGCTCTATTCTTGATCTGCATCTTCTCCCGCAGTGAGGGCATTGGTTTCCAGATGGAAGGCGGTTCCGATCTAAATTGGCTTGATGCGCTTTCCTCTTGGCATGTTTCTCTCTTTCACCCTCCATTCGTGCCTCTTCAAATTCTACAGCACTGCTGGTCACAGCTATCCTCCAGCTGGAGCGCTCAAGGGCCAGGGTTTCCCAGTTCTCAGTGTCTATGCCAGAGTTTTTAAGGTTGTCTTTGAGCCCATCTTTAAATCTCTTTTCCTTTCCTCCAACATTTGGTTTTCCATTCTTGAGTTCAGAGTAGAGCAACTGCTTTGGGAGACTGTGGTTGGGCATCCAGACAACGTGGCGGAGGACCATAGCTTTAATGCTGGTGGTCTTTGCTTCTTCCAGCACGCTGACATTTGTCCACCTGTCTTCCCAAGAGATTTGTAGGATTTTTCAGAGGCAATGCTGATGTAATCATTCTAGGAGTTGCATGTGATGTCTGTAGATAGTCCACATCTCACAGGCCTATAGCAGGGTTGGGAGGACAACAGCTTTATAAACAAGCACCTTGGTATCCCTACGGCTGTCCCAGTTCTCAAACACTCTCTGCTTCATTTGAAATAATGCTGCACTCGTAGAGCTCAGACGGTGTTGTATTTCAGTGTCAATGTTGACTTTTGTGGAGATGTGGCTGCCAAGGTAGCGAAAATGGTCAGCATTTTGTAATGTTACACCATTAAGCTGTATTTCTGGCATTGGAGAGGGATTGGCTGGTGACTGCTGGAAGAGCACTTTGGTTTTCTTGATGTTCAATGACAGGCCAAGCTTCTCGTATGCTTTTGTGAAGGTGTTTAGAGTGGCTTATAGGTCTTCTTCTGAATGCGCACAGATGACATTATCATCAGCATACTGGAGTTCTATAACAGATGTTGTTGTAACCTTGGTTTTGGCTTTCAGTCTGCTGAGGTTAAATAGCTTGCCATCTGTCCGATAGATTATTTCCACTCTGGTGGGAAGCTTACTATCAACAAGGTGAAGTATTATAGCGATGAAGATGGAAAATAAAGTTGGGGCAATAACACATCACTGTTTGACACCAGATGCCACCAAAAATGGGTCACTTTGGGAGCCATTGCTGTCCAAGACTGTTGCCATCATGTCATCATGTCATGGCATTGAGAGTAACATTGAGGAAAAGATAGAACCAAATGTGATTTTTGGGAAGGGTTTATGGATACATGAAATATCAAGAAAGAGACCTATCTGAGGGTCAGTGGGAGACAAAGCACAGATCCTGAAGACTTTTCTTCCTCTTCACTGATGGAAGGTCCAACAGAGGCCTCCATCAGTCATGATGAAGAAAAGTCCGCAGAAGATATGACATGCCCTTTGTTTCTTTTTTAAAGGTTTTGATCCAGAGCACAGAAACTGATAGAACCATTATGAGTGCCCAAGCAAATCTTGCTGGTCTATTCCCCCCTTCTGGCGATGAAATCTGGAATCCAGAACTTCTTTGGCAACCTGTTCCAGTACATATTGTACCCAAGGAACACAATCCAGTAAGTATCAGCAATAAAACAATCCTGAGTCTTTTGTGAAATTCTAGTTAGTGGCTTTCAAATCAGGAGGACCAGTGAATCTGCTCCAGGTTTTAGTGTACCCTTTAGGAACTATTTAAAGTGCTGGCTCCTAATCCCTGAATAAGTCCATCATCTTGGACAGCTCTTTCAAAATTCAGATTCTTATCTCATTTTAGGACCTCTTCACACTGGGCTAAAATCGGCGGCATTCGCCAGTTTAACCCAGGTGACCTACACAGACTGTCAGCTCCCATCAAACGATGGTGGCGTGGCTCCATGGGTAAAGGAGGGCGGAGCCAGCACATGCTGCTACCATGCCAACATGGGAGGCTTCTTGCATTGCCATTGGAATCAATGGGGGGAAAGTTGTGCGTTCTACACTTCTCCCAATGTAGAGCTCACAACTTTGATGCAGTGCATGGAGCGCGGGGTTCCCCACTCCCCTTAATGAAGCAGAGCAACTCCAGAAGCCGTGTGACAAGGTTGTAAGTGTCATCTTCTCAGAAATCTAATCTGCCAACACCAGGTGTATACCTTCCAAATTTAAAAATATGTATTTCCTTAGATGAAATATATAAAATCTCTAAATACTTTTTACATAGTAGAAAGAAACACACTTCAATTCTAACTCTCTTAAGTTCTCACACTCCCATTCCAGTTCTGTTTTACTGTCTAGACCACAACTGCTTTAGAACAGAAAACTGGGATGCTGGATTGCCTATGCCAACAAAAGAAGTCTAAATTAGTCCTTCCCAGATTTGCCTTTTACTATGCACTATTGGCAGTGTCATGAGAAGGTCCATTCTTTTGTAAGTCATTGACAAAAGATGGTGTTTCTATATTATCTTGGTGATGTGCAAACCAGGCTAGCTATAGGAAGGCAGTTTCAGAGCACCTGGAAGTCACATGCCTGTCCTAATAAATATATGAACCTGTCTTTGGAAAGTTATTTTTTCACTTCAGTGCCCCATGTTTATTAAGAGATTCTGGAAATAAGAGCACAAAGGGTAACTTTTCCAATCTCTTCAATAAACCAGGCCCAATACCTGTCGAAGTGAGTTTCCAACTGAAAAAAAATCAGAGCTAACTAGAGAATTGTAATTATATTCCTAGTTTACATAGGCTTCCCTACTCTTCTGTGTTAGCTCTATCCTAGGGATGGAAAAATATTCCAAACATTGGACAAATGATTGAGAAACAGGTTTCCTAAGTGCTGTGAGTCACTGATGTGGAGAATCCTAAACAAGTGAAAAATGTCTGTTAAAAAATCACATGGGTTTGGTTTTGTATGGAAAATTGCATTTTTGTGCATACACACAAAAATAGCATTTATGTGCAAAAACAAATTTCCTGCACAGAAAACAGATTTCTCCATAACAAATAACATTATGCACAACCAATAACATTTTGATACATAATAAAAGTTTCTGACACAAAAAGCAGCATTTTCTGTGCAGAAATGTTATTTGTTGTGCACAATACACATACTTTTTTGGACAGCAAATAGTCTACTACACTATACAGCTACATAAACATCTCTGTGATTTGTTCTTGCTTGCAAGAATGAAATTTACAAAGATTTACATCCCTACTCCTATTTCAAAACTTGTTTATTTCAAAATATAATAATCCCAAGAATCATGCTGTTGTTTCAGATGAAGAATGACAGACCTTGAGTCATCTCAGGCAGAAGAAATAGAACGAGGCCTCTCAGTTCTGCATTCTCACTAGCAAAGTGTACTTCAAGCTGCTCAATAGTTGGAAGACCAAGAACAATAAAGTTAACTCCTTGGAGTCAGTGGAAACTGACTTCTTAAAGTAAATGCTGGGAGATGTCATTCTAGCAATTAGTTGGCCCAATAATAGCACACTCTTCTACATCTTTATGCTCAAGGCAATCACATCCTGTTCAACTGGACTTCGAGCCTTGAGAAAAAAAATGGTTGAGAAATAAGATAGATGATGTTGATTATGATTCTATACCATGGAATTCAAGGTGTAAGTCAAGGGCTTCCCAGGAGGTTTCCTATCCTATCAATGACCAGATCTGCAGAGGTTTGTGATACTGACTGATATGATTTCTCTCCAATGCATTTTACCCTGCAGATAGGCAACTGAAGGACCGCTATAGACATTATCCGGATATATAAAGTAAGATCTATATAAAAGCCCTAGTAATGAAACTCAAAGTGAAACAGAAGCTGCTTACAATCAGTCTTATTTTTGTTTCAGAAATTACGATTTCCAATGTTTCACTGTCCACGTTATTTGAAACTTCTGAAAGAAACAATTATCTCCAGTGAATTCCAGCTCAAGGTGCAGCCATATCAGGTATTACAAATAGCCAAGGGTAGTGATAAGGGAGAAAGCTAAACCTGTATTGTTCCTGAAATGTCTGCTATTGTCTCGCCATATATGATCTTATATTTTAAAAGTGCTGTAGAACAGAATAGTACATCTATTGCTATCCATTATCAATGGAGCTTTTTTACATTTTCTTCTATTACATGGCATCCATTCTGCATCATTCTTAGGATTAAGTTGGGATTTTCAAAATTTACAGTAAATGTGACCCTTTGCCACCAAATATGGATGCAGCACCATTTCAGCTCTTGGCCTTGGCTTCTCCCACCACATGAAAAAATAGATTGATTGGACTGGTATGCATGTGATAAGAATTTTCCTTCCAGTGGGTTCATGAACATAAATGGTAAACAGTGTTTTGCTCAGCAGGTCATAAGTTGTTAAATTACTTAGTAAACACTTTATTAAATGCTCATATCCTTTGCTACCTTGCCTAGGATTGTGTATGTTTGGGTTCTGAAAGTCAGTAAAATTTCTAGTATGGCATAACACCTCATCATATAGCCATGTGTAATTGCTAGAGGGCTGGAGAAAACAAAGCTCTGTGGTAATCAATAAAATAAAAGCCTGAGCTGGGAAAGAATCAGTTCTACTCTAGTAATTTCTGCCTATGTGTCTGCTCACAACAGGAAAGTTAAACAGCAACTGTCCCCAGATTGTTCCATTTAGCAGGTGTAAACAGCAAAGCTGAGTGAAAAGGTGAAAGCAAAAAAATCATAACTTGGGGTCCATCCACACAGCCCTATATTCCAGAATACAAACACAGAAAATCCCACAATATTTGCTTTGAACTGGGTTATTTGAGTCCACATTAAAATAAAGTGGGATTTTCTGCCTTAATATTCTGGGATATAGGGCTGTGTGGAAGGGCACTGGGTTTTCTGTAAATTCGGAATGCAGCAAATTACATTCTAACTCATCCATACTGAATGGTGTACAGAATCATTGCTCATGTGTCAAGTAAATGTATTGATTTGTGTATGAAGACTTTTTTTTCTTATTTCCTTTCAGGAATTTATAAAAATGGTATCTTTGCATTCAGGATATAATCCTGAGACTCTGGCACATTTGGACAATTTTAAACTCTGGCATGTACAGGATACTTTATTATGTGAGGTACGTTTCTCTGTTCTTTAAAAAAAAGTCTAAAGTTGTAAAAGTATATTTGGTTTGTCTCACTAGAGAGAATAAACTTGCATTGAATTGTAATTAAAATATAAATGTGGCAGTTGATAGATTCTCTTTCAATCATCTCTTTAAATAAATTAAATACAATTATTAAAATAGTTCCCCAAAATATGGAATCATAGGAAATAATTTCCCCTTATTATTCCTTTAATAAGGAACTGTTTTACTACATAGAAGATCACAAACTATTTGGCTTAGAGAACAGACAGTAAATATTTTTGCAACTTCCTTGGACTTCATGGGATTTAGGTACACCCCCCTCCCTTTGACCCACTCTCGTAGGCCATCCAGTCCAACTCCCTGCCAAGGAGCAGGAAATTCGCATTCAAAGCACCCCTGACAGATGGCCATCCAGCCTCTGTTTAAAAGCCTTCAAAGAAGGGGCATTCACCTCCTCTCAGGGGCAGATAGATTTACTGTTGAACAGCTCTCACAGTTAGGAAGTTCTTCCTAATGTTCAGGTGGAATCTCCTTTCCTGCAGTTTGAAGCCATTGTTCCGTGTCCTAGTCTCCAAAGCAGGAGAACACAAGCCTGCTCCCTCCTCCTTATGACTTCCACATACATCTTGGTACATGGCCATCATGTCTTCTCTCAGCCTTCTTTCTTGCAGGCCAAACATACTACAGCTGGAAAGCTCCAGAACTAGGTGATAATCTAAAACAGATGACATTATTTTAATGGCTATTGGGGGCTGGTTGGGGATTATGTAGTCTGTAGTTTCAGGAATTTAAACATGTATTTATTTTTTATTGCAGTCTATTCACAATTATACACTACCTGAATGGGCAACAAAAGACGTAATGGCCAAACTGGATGAACTAACAGTGATGTCTTTGTCAGTACTATTTGGTATACACAAAAGAGAAGAGAAGGCACGGCTGCAAGGAGGTAAACAAGAAGCATTCACTGAGCCATGTTGATGATGATTGACACATCTTTCTCACCATTACTAAAAAAAAACCCTGCAATGTATTTAGGACTTGAGGTTCTAATTGCTTTAACTGATATATTAATTAAGAAATGCTTTCAGCTGTTTAATCAGTGGAGACCAATTTTAATCAGCCAAGGAAACTGAATTAAGGGAATGTTTGTGTATTCATTTGTATATAATTCCATTTTCTAAAAATACTGTATTGCCTCTGCCATTTTATGGTAGTAGATATGGGGACTGCAGCTTACCCCCAGCTATTCCAGTTTAGTGCAGTTTTCCCTCTAAAATAAACATGTACATTTTGGCAGTATTTTGTCACAAAACTTTGGCAGTATCGTCCCTTCTGTTTTTTGTTTTATCTTAGACTGTTATACCACAATCTTTTAGAAATTTGTTAGAATTTCTTAGAAGTCTGTTGTTTGTAATTATACTATTATCACATTCTAGCTATTATTCACACTTGTTATGCAAGTGTAAGCGTATTTGTAATTAAAAGTGATTGTTACATTCAAATCTTGTTGACTCAGATAATATAAATACGTTCCAGTGATGAAAACAAAACTATTATTGTTTACATTTAATTTATAATTTCATCCAAGTATGGAAAAACAATAAAGTTTAAGATACATCTTATGAAACTTACAGTGATAGATGGATTATAGTTTGATGGGCCAATGAGTGTAGTATGGAGTCCATTTGCTGATACACTGAATTCTTATGAGCAAAACCAGAGTAAATAGATGTATTTTCTGCAAATAATTATTTGTAATTTCAACCGATATTATTGTTGGACTAACCTATCCCCTTGAGCTCAGTAGGACTTAATCACCTTATTGCTGCAGAAAGTGATACAAGTTTAGAAGACTAGCCATACTGTAATATTTCTCCGCACCAATATTAACACTTTTTTTCCATCCCTATGAAGGACTCCTTGTGAAAGATATCTTAGAAAAGATTTCAAATGCCGCTAGATATCCAGGCAAGAGAAAGATGCTGGTCTATTCTGCAGTAAGTATTATTATTATTGTTATTATTATTATTGTTGTTGTTATTATTATTATTATTATTATATCTTTGGTTGCATATATGCACATTATCTGGCTGCACAAACTAATTAGTGTTTGGGTTGTTGTAGGTTTTTTCGGGCTATATGGCCATGGTGTAGAGGCATTCTCTCCTGACGTTTCACCTGCATCTATGGCAAGCATCCTCAGAGGTAGTGAGGTCTGTTGGAACTAGGAAAAAGGGTCTATATATCTGTGGAATGACCAGGGCAGGGCAATGGACTCTTGTCTGCTGGAGCTAGGTGTGAATGTTTCAACTGACCACCTTGATTAGCATATAATGGCCTGATAGTGCTTTTGTTGAGAGGTGATTAGATGTCCTTGTTTGTTTCCCCTCTGTTGTTGTGCTGTTGTAATTTTTGAGTTTTTTTAATTCTGGTAGCCAGATTTTGTTCATTTTCATGTCAGACTACACAGAGAAGCCATTGAAATCCACAAGCATGAGGACAATTTCAACAGAAAGGAGGAAACCATGAAAATGAACAAAATCTGGCTACCAGTATTTAAAAAACTCAAAAATTACAACAGCACAACAACAGAGGGGAAACAAACAAGGACATCTAATGTTTCAACTGATTGCTCCAGGCACTGCCAGGCAATCTAATGCTAATCAAGGTGGTCAGTTGAAACATTCACACCTAGCTCCAGCAGACAAGAGTCCTTTGTCCCACCCTGGTCATTCCACAGATATATAAACCCTTTTTCCTAGTTCCAACAGACCTCACTACCTCTGAGGATGATTGCCATAGATGCAGGTGAAACGCCAGGAGAGAATGCCTCTAGACCATAGCCATATAGGCCAAAAAAACCTACAACAACCCAGTGATTCCGGTCATGAAAGCCTTCGACAATACATTAATTAGTGTTTATTATATTTGTAAAATCTTTGGAAGATTCCAGCCTTTATCAAAGCCATTCTAAAGTATATTTGGAAACATTTGCCTTTGGGCATTCTCGTCTACATCTAAAACAGTTTGCTCAGTCAATACAATCCCAGGCCCTCAAATTTCAGAGCCAAATCCAGACACATAGGGAGATCCTCTTCATTGTCAGCTTCTTTTAATTTGTACTTTTACAGTTTCATGATGAACAGAATTAGAAGAGAGGCAGGTTTTCCTGGAAAGGAGATGTGGAAATACATAAAGTGTCATCTAATTGACCTATACTTTTAGTAATGCTTTGAAGATTTATTGCCCTGCTGGAATTATGTAGGAGATTACACAGGGATGGGAAGATCTTTGGCCTAGATTCAGTTGTGATCACACCTAGAGAAGAACCATAAAATTTAAACATTTATTGATTTACCCAATTCCAACTGATATAATTAGTATGCTCTAACTAGCCCAGCCGTGGGGCCAGATGACTATAGGGCCAAATATCCACATTCCAGATAGAGCATAGTGGTGGTGTAGGGTGTGTGTTGCTTTTTATGTCTTGCAGAGGAAAATGAGCAAAGGAAGAAGAATATCCACTATGTATTCTCTGACCTGCTTAACTATTTTATTCATCTGACCATTAATAATACTGGCATCATTAAGATCTGTTTTCAGATTGTCTACATAGAATTTTGTGATACTGCCAATTGGAAACTTTGCCTTCCATTGACAATGCTGATAGATTTTGTCAAACGTAATATGCAATATATGTTCACATTTGTCTCTTTGCAGCATGATACAACACTTGGAGCCCTGCAGATGGCACTCAACATTTACAATGAACAACTATTTCCATATGCTGCTTGTCAGTTTTTTGAATTGTATCAAGAAAGTAATGGGCAAGTATTGTATTGTGCTGTCAACAATCACCATTCCTTTATTACCAAATACCAGCTTCCACTCATTTGTACTTTGCTTTGTTTCAGTGTCTTCTGCAATGTCTTTATATTTTTATACATAGATGCACTAAATGTAATAATATGTAATAATATGTACAAGTACAAGGCAATTCAGTCCCAATTATGGCATTCCTAGCCACTATCTATTATTTGTATTTTTAAAAATGTGCTAATATGTCATCTGTTTGTAGAATGTGGATCAAAAAACTGCTTTCTTTCCATGTGAAGCATAAGAGAAGCTTTACTATTACTTCTGCCAACCTAGCAGTTCGAAAACATGCAAATGTGAGTAGATCAATAGGTACCGCTTCAGCGGGAAGGTAATGACGCTCCATGCAGTCATGCCGGCCACATGACCTTGGAGGTGTCTACGGACAATGCCAGCTCTTCGGCTTAGAAATTGAGATGAGCACCACACCCCAGAGTCGGACATGACTGGACTTAATGTCAGGGGAAAACCTTTACCTTTACCTTTACCTTTACCTTACTATTACTATATATTGGCCTAGGGCAGAGTAAAAATGCAGAGGCAGAAAAATGTATTTATGTGTAACTCATGCAGAAAAAAATGGAGACAGGAACCTTGGTATGCCACTTTCTCTATTTTAAGAATGTCTTCTTTATATTCAATAATCAGTTAATTGTCTTTCTAATGTTTTTGTTGTTATTGTTGTTATTGTTGACATGATTTGCCAAGTGGGGAAAGGTGCCTGTTTGATACAGCACATTATTTCCCTTTCCTTAGCATCTTGTATTCAGTGAATTTTGTTTTTTAATTAGTTATTGGAATTGAACATTGGATTGATTTGCAAATTTGATTGCAGAGACATGTATCTAAAGCAGTGGTTCCCAACCTTTTTTTGACCAGAGACCACTTGAACAGGGTCCAGCCTCCAACATTAGTACCAAAAGGATTATGAATCGGTTTTTTGGTCAACTTTAAATTTGGTTTGGTTATTCAGGGTGCTGATTCAGAAAATTGCATTGGATAGACCACATCAGCTTTAGTTTCTGATACAGAACATATACCATCCAGTAGTCGCTATCTGCTCACCCACAAAAAAACATATTTAATAAGCCTCGGCACTATAAGAGAGTTTCGCGAGGCCAGTTTCTCTTATTGCAACAGTGTAGTAACAGTGAGGCTGTTCTTGCGGACCAATGGTGGTCCACAGACCACAGGTTGGCAACCACTGATCTAAAGAAATCCCATGAAGAGAGCCGAAACAGTTTAATTATTGGGAATATGCATGCTGCTTAATGTCTAATCTGATCCTTTCAGCATTATACTATTGTGTATTACCTGCTGTTTCTAAACAGCTCGAAGACTGAAATGACAAAATAAAGTCACTCTTGGAGAAAGGGAGACAAGGATTCCCATTAAGATACTGGTTACCAATCATGGAATGGTTTAGGTTATTGGAAGAATAATTTCACTCCTTTTGTGGGTTTTATGTGGCTTCACCATTGACTTATATGACAGGTTACAGCAAAACCTTCCAAGCAGTTCATGTTGGTGATACACTTTGTAGACTGGCAAACCAGAGATTGAACATTATGGCATAATGAGGCAATAGAACTCTCTGGCCTAGAATTCTAAATGCATATTCCCTAAACCACAAATATCAGGATTCCACAGAATGAAAGCATGGTAATAAATATTTGTGTGACCCTAGGTCATCAGTTCCATCCTGGGATAAATGTTGTCATCTAGATGTCATCTAGACCTCTGGAGGTCAGCACTATATTTTGAAGAGACCCCCTGAAAATTTGGTAATTTGATCTTTTTCCCCTCTCTCTTTCTCTGCCAACTTTTCTTCATCTGACTCCTGCAAATCAGGGAGTACACAATCGAAATGTATTTTCGGAATGACACTACGAAAGAACCCCATCTACTTACCCTCCCTGGCTGCTCATCTGCGTGTTCACTATCACAATTTGCAGAACTGGTTTCTCCCATCTTAGTCGAAGACTGGGATAGTGAATGCCAGAAAACAGAAGAAGAAAAAGGTAGCATAACAACTGAGTCAGTTGCATGAAATGGTAGAAATGAGTACCTGCAAATTATTGTAATATTCATTTGTTTAAATGTTTTAAATATTTTGAACAGCAGCTTGCAATTCAGTAGGAAAATAAAGCATAGCTGATTTTCACAGTGCTTTTATAAGTTGTCAAGCTGCACTTGATGCTTATAAAATGTTTTGTACCACAGCTCCCATCATCCTCAGTAAACTTGGCAAGTGTTCAGAAATGAAGGGGTGGATTTGGAAAATCTGGAGGAGAAACTGATATAATCAGTGTCAAGTTCCATAAAGTGTTGGTTTTCTTGCTGTCTGTCATCTAGGCTTTACCATGATTTAGGTAGAATGTAGTAACCGCCTCAAGCAGTAGAAGCAGAATTCAATCAACAGTTGATCATGCTGGAGAAGTTCAAGTTTCTACCAAAAATCTGATGCCATCCTTAGTCGAAGGTGGGGCTAGTGAATGCCGGATTTGAATCTGTTCAATAGCTTTAGCTCAACAGCCACAGAATAATGGAACAGCCACAGAATAATGTGTGGATGGTTTTGAATGTTCCACTACCTGAAGAAAACCCTGCCAATAAAAAAGAAAATGTAAATGTATCTGATTGGGTACCTCTGATTTTCAGAGTTTTAGTAGCTAGCCTTGAATATATTCTAAGTTTAAATCAAAAGGGTGTATCCACACTACGCGCATATAGCGGTTTGTTACTACTTTGGCTGCCATGGCCCCATATTGTGGACCCCTGTGATGTAGTTTGATGAAGCACATAGAAGCCTCTGTATTCCCCCAGAATACAGAACTATAATGTTTCTGGCAGATATTTTTCCCTGCTCCAGGTTTGTTACTATGGCCTTGACCATGTATAGGCTTTCTAATGGGAAGGCTAGAACAGGTGACTTCTGACTTCAGAGATGAAAGGAATGCTGGTATCTTTTAATATCTGAGGAATCTAAATTCTTATTTCTAAGAATTTCAAAGATATTAACTACTGGGACTCTCTAACAGAAAATCCTCTAAGTTCTAAAACTAAAAAATCTCAAAATTCCACAAGCTGAAAGCATGGCTGTTTATGTGGCATCAAAGTACAGGCAGCCCACAAGTTACAAACAAGATAGGTTTGGAGGTTTGTTCTTAGGTTGAATGTGTATGTAAATAGGAAAAGGTACATTTTAAAGTGGAACTCCAGTCACACACACACACACACACACAGGCATATATCTTAGCTTTGGATAGCATAAGGGAGGTTTAACACCGCCGTGGTGTTTGGTTTGCTATCTGTGTCCCTGTTCAGATTATTTCACCTCATTTTCTGCCCCTGTGATAACTGGATTTTGAAAAATGTGGCTTTTTTGTGGAAACAAAGATTGGTATTAGATTTCTCTCACTTCTTGTTCTCACCTCTGTTCTTAATTATGACTCATTTGTAAATTGTATGTTTCTAACATGGGGACTGCCTATATTATATATAGTATGAACACATTCCTGGTCCCTTGCCAGCTAGGGAGCTAGTTTCTGAGCACAACTTCAACAACAGGCTACGGCATACATCTGGGTGCATTTCACTAACTCAGGAACTATTCTAGTACCATTTAGATTATTTTTATGGGTTAAATAGGTGGCTCAAGATTTGCACTTTGCTGATATTCAAAAAGTTGTGGTTGGAAAGATGTCATTCGGAAATATCTTTCATTCTTAATCTTTGTCATAATTATTTCCCACAGATAGTGACTTGGACATGAATCCAGAAGCTAAAAGACCAACAGTGCCAATGGAAAAGATACTAGACGTCAGTGCCTCAAGTGAACCATACATCTCCAAGCCTAAGATAACTGGAACTCGTAAACCAGTCATCACCAATCTCAGACCAGGCATTGCATTCCCTTAATTCAACAATGGGCCACAACCCATTGGGCTAGGGCATCCGCATAGAAAAGGTGCTTGGCAAGAGTTCTTGGAAAGAGAAAGGGATGCTCAGCTGCAGGTCCAAGGCCTGTCCTTTTAAGGCTTTCACATTATCACAGAGGGGGCAGAGCCAGAGATGGGTAGAGTTCAGAGTGTTAAGGCAAAAAAAGACACCAGTCTGATCCAAGAACTTATTGGAGTAATTGACTCACTTGGCCCTGCCCTGCCCAAGGGATTCCCTCTGAGAGCTGGCTGGCAATTTTTTGTGTCTGTTCTGCCCATATGGGCAAAGGGAAATATTATAAAGATACCTGACTGGCTAGAAATGGTCTGGAAAGGAAAAGTCAGGTTTCAGGACACAGTATCTTTTCAAAATTCATTCAATGAGTTTGTTTAAAAAAAGTCTTACAAGTTAGCACATCTTGAAAATAAAATTTGTTTTAAATAAAGTTAAGATTTATGTACTTGTTTGCAAATGAAACTTTAGCATCTATGGATTCTAGAGATTTCAACTGTTAGGCACATTATTCATTTCCAATATGATCTCACCTCTATGTGGGAATGTGTGTGTGCATGCACATGCATCATTTTTATACCCATACGGCAAGTCAAGGCGGGTTACAAATTGGCACGATTCAATGCCATGCATTCATAAAAGTGCATTTAAAAACAGTCAACATAATAATATAAAAACATATATAAAATCCATTAAAACATGTAGTCATCAATGTCATCTTGTTAAAATCCTTTTCCAGTAACATTATCTGGCCATTCTATGTTCATCATTCATAGTTTCATGTTATCTGAAAATAAAAAGATCCTGTCTGGATTAGACCAAAGGTCTATTTTAACCGGAATCCTTTTTAAGAACATAAGAAGATCCCTGCTGGATTGGACCAAAGGCCTGTCTTGTTAGCTGGATTGCTTATGGCTCCATACTCTGTGTCGTTTTACAAACCTTTATCATACTTTTTTTAAACTACAACGTTTTGGCATAATTAGCTTTTCCAGTAGGAAATCACTTTCATTGCCCTTTCCTGATCTTTTCGAGCTCTGCAATATATTGTTGGGATGAGATAACCCAAATATTCCACAGTGTTCTGCAAATTGACAAGACTACCATCTTTGTAAAGGCATTCTGGTACTGGAAGATTATTTTCAGTCCTTCTTTTAATGGAAATGTCTATGTTTTTTCATTCAGCAATTTGAGGGGGTTTTTTGTTTTGTTTTTTCCCTAAGCATAATAACTGCAAGGTTCTTTTTCTAGTTAGTCATTGTGCTTCACACCTGCCAGTGAATATATGAAGTTAGGGTTTACTCTTTTGTTCCAAATGTGTATCATTCTATACTTATTGTAGTTTGAACATCATTGCTATTTTATTCTCTGCTTATCTAAAATTTAATAAATTAACCTGTCTGTTTTATAGTTTGCTAGGATTTACCATATAGCATAGTGCACAACTGGATGGATCAACCTGTCTCTGCTCTGTGTTTTTTGCTTACTTTATTCCAGAACTTGGAGAAGTTATCCTTTGTATAGGATCCTTTGACTAGTATGACCAGTGGCCATGCAGACTGAACTTAGGAAGGTTTTATTCTGTTTGCACAGAATGGTAATGGTTTCAGTTGTTTCAAGCAAGGAAAAATAATTTATATTCTATATAAATTAAACTGATCAATAATGAACTCATGGTGTCTCTCATGGCATTCACATGATGCATGGCGCTGATTTGCCCTGCATATCTGGAAAGGTAGCTTAACTCAGCCTTGTCACACATTACCCCAAAGTTTCACTGGACATTGGGGCAGTGCAAACAGTTCAGCCAGTTCTGATTTAGAACTGACCGCTGCCATCCCACTTTCCCTCACCTCGTGCAACCTAGAGACAAAGGATGGCATTTGCCAGTCCCACCCTGTCCCAGTTGTAGCAGTGATCATAGGCCACGAAATTACTTGAGGTCTTTGTCATCACCAGTGCTAACTTTAGTTGAAGCGCCAACATGACTTGCAGAGGGAAGGGTGAAAGAAAGGGGTCAATCCCTCCTTTTTCCCATTCCCACTCCAAGTCATGCTGGTGCTTCCACAGCAGCTTGGAAGTTGGCCATGAAGACTCTTCAAGACAGATTCAAAGAACTCTATTCTTGATCAATCTCAGGTTAAGTGGCCTGTGTTAGATGTGCCAGTGAGGCACTGAATCTTCTCTGGCTTCCAGACTGAACTTCAAATGAGATCTCCAAAGAAGCCCAATATCCCGAGCCATAAAATAAGTTCAGCACCTTGGACAGTTCTGTTAGGGTTTTTTCCCCATCGAACTCACTACTCCAGTAGCATAGAAGCTACCAGACTCCATCTTCATGTGTTTTGGTTATTTTTAGGGTAGATCACTTTAGAATGATGGCGCTTAAGTCAAGAGTAAAGTTTCATTGATTTCAGTTTGGACTGCTCCAAACGTTTGCTTCTTGGCTATGCAGACATTCAGCTATGAGATATGGGTGTTTAATGTACATAATGGTGCACTGCTTGTTTCTCATCTTGCAATATCATGTACCCAATCCTTTTAATGTTCCCTGTTTTTATGATCACAAAATAAATTATCTATCGAGCTAATGGTATTGTACTGTACTAATGTCCATTAGTCAAGCAGGAATGACCGTCCTGCTTGACTAATGTCAACCTTGATGTCCATGGTTATTTGCCCACACAGTATTTCAAATATCTAAAACCATCTGTGCCTACTCAATAGAAAGTCTCTCATACCAAAGGTCAGAATCTTTCCTTATTTTTAACTCAATCACAATCACTTGCTGTCCACTTGATTTACTCTCGTAAGGAAAAGAGTTAGATTTTTTTTTAAATCACATTTTAAGAAATGCATATGACAACCGTATCTGCAAAGGATAAATTTCAAGACCACCACTCCCACCTGAAACCATAGATAGTAGTGAATTCTTCACATTGACTATACTTTGGCCAGAAGTATATCATGGAATTAGACTGGGAGATCTAAAGAGGTCCATAAACAAAAGTATTCCACTGGGGAATATACATATTTTTGGAGGGTAGGGAAGTGAAACTGTGAGTAAACACCTTTGCAGAAGCATACGAGAAGTTTGGCCTCACATTGAAGATCGAGGAAACCAAAGTGCTCTTCCAGGAGTCACCAGCCAATTCCTCTGCAATGCCACAAATATAGCTCAACAGTGTAATATTAGAAAATGTTGACCATTTCCGCTACCTTGGCAGTCACTTCTCCACAAAAGTCAGCATTGACACTGAAATACAACACTGCCTGAGCTCTGCGAGTGCAGCATTTTTCCGAATGAAGCAGAGAGTGTTTGAGGATCAGGACATCCGTAGGGAGACCAAGGTGCTTCTTTATAAAGCTATTGCCCTCCCAATCCTGTTATGCACCTGCAAAACGTGGACTGTTTACAGACATCACACTCAACTCCTGGAACAATTCCATCAGCGTTGCCTCCAGAAAATCCTGCAAAGACCCTACATTTGGAAGGCAATCATACTCGGACAACGAGAGATGACCTAAGCAAGTAAGTGAAACTATGAATATTGAACTGTGGATAACCCCCTTATCCACAGTTCGATATTCATAGTTTCACTTAGAGACCCTATGTAACATACAGTAATGTGCGATGCAAGAAAAGCAAGAAAATATAAACACAGAAGGAGAAAAAATAACCACATGTAAGTTTCTATAAAAGCTGATCAAATGGTCAAATATAAGTCCATTTGTAAATCCTGTCTATATTATTCTTTTAAATATTCTAAGCATTATTAGATCTATCTATTGGATTAAGGATAGAAAAATACATTTCAAGTAACAATGTATCAATCTTTCAGCAGTCAAAAGGATGTGAAAAATCCTCTTCCCTTTACTATTTGTTAATTTCTAAGAAACTGGTAACTGAAGAGAACATGCACAGCCTTAAATTAAAAAAAACTTTCCAAAAACATATTCATTCTGTGTTTATTCTTTCCCAAAAACGTAGGTACCGTTTAGAAAATCCCTTCTTGACATTGTAGCAACCAATACACCCACAAGAACCATTTCTGCACTGAACATTCCCTTCTCCACAGAACGACTATCAACTTATCCACAGATCATATCAAAATCTATTATTTTCGCCCTAACACCTGCCCTCGATTTATACATGAGGTTAACTTATATATGAGTATAAGTTCTGGAGAATTTGTATTTTATCCCAATACTGAAATGTGTATACTTTTCAAAATGCATTTTTCTATAGTATACCTAACTATTTGTACCATTTACCTAATTTGTGTAACTTTTCCCTTGGCATTTTAGCATGTTTCTACATTTTTTAATGTTCATTTGACCCATTTACATTTTTAAATGAGCACATGGTCTTATGCACTTATCAATCTAAAAATGTAGGGCATATTTACAGTCTGAAAACATTACCTTTTTTGGATTGTGACTTCAAAGATTTCCCTGTGGCTTTATTGGACTGGAGATTCTAAGAGCTGTAAACAAACAAAGTATGTGTGTGTGTCTTAATATGGGAAATGCCATTACTTTCTACATACAAATTCCACATAGGGAGCAGTTTGATAGGCCCCAAGTGGCATCACAGGATCGATATTACAGGAAATTCCTCAAGTGATGCTTCCTATAGTACTGTATTCAGTAGCCTAGATGCATCTTATCCAAACTTGGAAACTGGGCATGCTGGATGAGAGGTAGCAGAGCCTCTAGTCCAAACAGCTATACCTTTCACGCTCTGCTCTTTTATTGGCATCTGATATAGATGGGCTCAAGAAGTGTGGAAAAGCAGAAGTAATGGAGTAGGAAGGAGAAGACAAAACTGGCCCACGAATTTTTTTTTCATTATTGTAGAACCATAAAATTTGCTTTAACAAGGACCAGACAAAACACATGTGAGCCAGAACAAGCCCTCAAGGCTCTTAAACTGTTCAGGCTATCATTATATAGAAGTACTACCATTTTGACTTTGCCTCCTGGGATGACTGGATACACACAGCTTTTCCGTAATTAAGAAGAATGCGGTAGGTATTTAAAGATGTTACATCTGGAGGTAGAGTTTCTTGTAGAGGACTAAAGCAAATGCATAAAGTCCTCGGGGGCAGAATTTCTTCACGGAATTCTCTGATTGTCCATTATGTGGTCAAAAAAAGCTTTCCTTGTATTCAATCATGTAACTACCAGCAAATATCGAATAATCCATTTTGGAATAAGGTACTGGACTTTGTGTTGCCATTTCCCAGCTTCAAGGATTCCTGAATGGAATTATTCTATGATTCTATGAATGGAATATCTTGCTTCATTTCAATCTGGCTTCAGGCCTAGTTATGGCATTGAGATCTTGGACAAAATAGTCGAAAGGAGTGTGTCCCTGTTGGTTCAGTTCGATCTTCAAGGGAATTTTGGTGCTACTAGCCATAATCTCTTTCTGGGTTATCTCCACAGCACAGGATTTGTAGGCACTGAATTGCAGTGATTCTGCTCCTTCTTGGATGGGTTCGTTTAGCAGATTCTGTTGATTGAGTCATGCTTGAACCCTTGCACCTTGGCCTGTGCAGACCCTCAAGGTTGTTTTGCCTCCAGTCAATTTAACATATACATGACATTATTGGGAAAAGTTGCATGGAGTTTTATTTCTATTTCTCTTTTTTGTGTAACTCCAAAGAAGTTGTCTCCATTCTAGATGTATGTCTGTCATGAGTAATGGATTGGATGAGGTCAAATAAATTTAAAGTTAATCTGGACAAAACAGAATAGCTTCTAATCACTTGAAAGAAAAATCAGGAAATAGAGTTTCAGATTATATGGGAGCTACATTTCCTTTAAAGACACAGGGCCCTTCCAGACAGCCTCATAATCCAGGACAAAGAAGTGGGTTTAAAAGCCATGGTAACTGAAAGCAAGTCCAGACATGGAGCTGTCAGTCCCAGCATATAGTCCTCTGCCCACCCACACACTCACCCCACCCCACCCCCCGGGTGTCCTGAAAGTTTTGTTTCTAGTGGATTTTAGAAATTCACAAGATGGACTCAGGACATCTTCTGAAAGTTTTCTTTTAATTCTTATTGACTCTCCAAGATGCACACAAGCAGATTTCTTGTCATTATCTCTCATGCCTTTAAGTTTGCCCTCTTGAAGCCCGTTCCCCTTGGGGTCACTTGCCTGTCTTTCTTGTGCCCACTGTGTAAATTCAAGCTCTGTTTAATTTCATAAATATGAGAACAAAGGAATGATTACAAAGAGTTCTCATTGGAATTGCTTTGCAATTGTGCTTCCATTTAGCCACCTGTGTCAGTGGCTTAATTTGTATACAGCCCTCATCAGCTGTTTCGAGATTTTAAAATGCACACCTGCAGTGGAGTAGTCCACGCCAATATATCACAATGAAGTTTCATGTCAGCAAGTAGTGTCTCAAGTATTTTTGGTGTGTATTCATGAATAAATATGCTATTTACTGTAAATCATAAATATATACATTACTGCAAAACAGCAAGTTCGTGAAAAACAAACTGCGAGGTAGCGCGGGAACACTGTACAGTGATGTGAGTATACGCAGCTTCGAATTTTAAGCACACCGTTTAAATCCATGTTTTTTATGGATTTAAAAGTGATTCAGCATGCATTTTCAGCAAACATCATTTAGCTGCCATCACCCCTTTTATCCCAGTTTCTTTCTGATTTTAGGGCTTGTATAGAAGGGCCCACAGATTTGCAGTTTGGACACATTGCTGGTTTCACCTCTCAGCTGATTTCTGCAATGACCAGGAAAAAATTTGCACAGTACGTGTGCTGCCAGCTCCCATGCCTGGAACTATTTGTTCTGGTCACAATGAAATATGCTTTAGGTGCACCTTGTTTGGACTACAATATGACCCAATATGTGGCAGATAGGTTTACACACCCTGGCTTTGTGGATTGTGGCAACACTGGTCTGGAAACCCTACTCCAAATCAGCATTGCCATTTGTGGCCAGTGTAGATGCTCCCATTAACTGCCATGGCTCAATGCCGTGGGAACCTGTGAGTTGTAGCCTGATAGACCAGCAGCACTCTATGGCTAAACTACAATTGCCAGGTCTCCAAAGTATTGACTCATGGCAGTTAAAGTCATATTGATTCTACTGTGTGATTGCACCCAAAGCCTATCTATCTTTTGCTCCAGGCAGCCAGTACTCTGTACTAAAATATAAACATGAAGATATCTCTTCATAGTTTGTGTTCTTAGCCACTATGTTCCACCAATATTTGATTGTTTACTATTAGTTTTGGAGAGGAAAAAGCCTCCGGACATCTACTGTGGTCACCCAATCCCACTGAATTTTCTGTACCCAATTAAAATAGATCATTAGTCAAAATGTTCAAATTAAAATTGAAGATTAAACAAACAGGGAAAAGAGAGTCTCCACCCCTCTCTTTGCTCTGTATAAAGCACAACTTTTTCCCTCATGGGCTACTTTCCACTAAAAAGCTCTTTCATACAGCTGTCAGGATGGGTATATCAGTGGTGTGTCTGATGTACAGCTTCACTTTCCTTAGCATCTTCTTTGGTCTACTTCTCCAAAGCACCACCGGAAGAGAGTTAAAGTTTGTGGTTGCAGTAAGTATAAGATTTATTTCCACTGTTGCCTGTCAACCTTGCAGTTTAGATCCACAACTCCTTTTCTGTAGCTGGCTCCCTTAACTAATCGAGCCTTGTACTTTTCCCTTTGGCTGAAAAGATATATTTCCTTTTCTTATACCACCTTTCTTGCAAAATAATGGAGCAGTACACAAAAACAGAGAATCAACATCCAAAGCACATTGAAACGAAAGGCAATAAAAACAGAATTACAATTTATTTTCTTTAATGGACTTTGTAAATTTAGACTGATTTAACTTTGGTGCCTACTTTTCCCCGTCACAGCTTCACCACACTGATTTATCATCTACCATTTGCTTCAGCTAGATGCGTGGCTGATTTTATTGTTTCTCCTGCAGACACAGTGTTCTGGTGATGTTATCTAAAACAAAATCCTGCCCACATTCATGCAACCTTCTAGATTGTTCTGAAACTGTATTGGCACATTTGAAAACAGGTATAATAAAGTATTTTTTTAAATCAAGTAGGTTAGAAAGTTTAGAAAGGTTTTCTTATTGCCAAGGGGGAAAAAAAGCTTGAGAAATATTTCAGTGATTAATTTCAGCATGCCAGGCTTCAGTTAGAGTCAGGTGGCCTTCAACAATACATGGAGCAAGAATAGTATTTGTTTATTTAAAGAAAAGGAACTGGCAAACAAGAATAATAAGTTCCTTGTACATCTGATTCTCTGGATTAGAAGAAAAACTATGAGTTATTTCTGTCACTACAAACAATTCCTTACTACCGTTTGACTGTACCAGTATTTCTCTTCCAATTTAGTGTTACTATTAACCATAAACTTGTTTCATGCCCTGAAAAATATCTGGATTGTATTTGGGCTAAGCATTCCATCTATTTGAACACATGTCGATATTCTCATTACAGGTAGTTCTTGTTAACATTCTGGTTTGGTTTGGTTTTGTTTTGTTTTTTGTGCACCTGAAATAAATAATAAGGTGCTTCAGACAACATTTCACACATTGCTTCCCAGGCCAGATAATATAGGCCTTAATATACAAAAACCATAAGCGGTTTATGTCGGCTGTCACAGAACTTTTTAGCCACAATCCACATTTAATTGTGCAAAACAAAATGTGCATTTTCACTTGTGAATTGGATTGGGGAAATGCAATGTCAGTTAAGTTGACAGCTTCATTTGTACCCAAAAGGAGTTTATTGCACGAGGAAGGCATTAAAGCAAGTCTACTACTTACTCTATTGTATGTTGTAAGATGCATCCCACAGTTGGTCTGCCTCTTTTGTAAAGGCCATAAATACCTGTCCATCCTGAACATTAGGCCTGTGCGGTTTCGTTCGTTAATTTCGTAATTCGTTAAACATTCGTTAATTTTTGCATTTACGAAACGATAACAAACCATATTTTCAAACCCGGAAGGGTTTTTAAATATCGAAACGGCAACCCCCACAGTTTTAACGAGCTTTCGCCCGTTTCGTAAATGGGGCGGGCGGGGCGAAGGGGCGGCGCGAGCGCGCACCCAGTGAGCCAAGCCCCGCGCCTGCCTGTTGGGCGCGAGCGCGGCTCCCGATTGGCCGGCCCGCGCGCGCTCGCCCTTAGGGAGCCAAGCCTTGTTCCTGCCTGTTGGGCGCGAGCGCGGCTCCCGATTGGCCGGCGCGCGGAGGCCGGTTGTCTCTTTAAGGCGCCTCTCTCTCCCAGCTGTGTTGCAGGAAGTGCCAGGAGGAGGAGGAGGAGGAGGGGCGCAGGAGCCGGAGCCGGAGCGCAGGAGCCGGGGAGGGGATTCCTGCAGCGCCAGCTCTGCCTCCGTGGCCCGCCTGAGATGAGTATTTGTGAGGTTGGGACTGGATACAACTGGAGATACATGCAAGAATTAGTGAAATGGTGAGAATTCATGCCTCCTGCCATTTCACAGCATTTTTCTCCAGTTGAATGAATGAGTAGTAGCATCACACCCACTGCCTCAAGAGCAGAAGCAGGCAACTGCCAACCCTGCTGCCACTATCAGAACTGGCTGCTCATTACTGTGTTTCCATCAATCATAGGAGGGACACTAACTTGGTCTGAGATCCAACAATGGAAGCAAAGGGGATAGGAGAAGAAAGCTGTTGATTTCATGGGGTCTCTCTTCCAGGCCAGGATGGGAGGTTGTTGCCATCCCACTCTCTATACCTCACTTCCGCTGAGTGGTTGCAGAGGCACAAGAACCAGGCATCCTTCTACTAAAAAGAATTTTAACGAATCGATTCGTTATACCCTTAACGGATCGACCCCGCGCCAATAACGAAGCTTCGGAAGTGTTTTTACGCATGCGCGGGGGTCCGCCATCTTTACAAAATGTTTTGTAAATATTTACGAAATTTCGTAAATACCGAAACTTTTTTTTGGGAAAATTTTGTAATTATTTTAAATATCGAAACAAAAAAACACCCCAATTACAAATCGATTTTAGAACCAAATTTTTTCTTGATCAACCAGGCCTACTGAACATTCCTGTTGCCTACCTAGTGAGATGGAGCCACTTCGCTTCTGTGCCAGCATACCGGCATGAAGTGACACCAGGAGACAGGATAGCCCTCCTCTCCCACTCTCTACTCCCCTCACAATTCCTAAGACAGTCTTTTTTATTTTAAATTTTGTAATATTTGGGAGTTTTCTTTCCAAAAAATTAACTCTAGCTAGAATTGTGAAAATTACAAAGCAGCAGATTTGTGTGAAGACAGGATTACGAGAATATGTGAAAGTACAAGTGCAGGACTACATATCAACAAAGTGTCCAAATCACACAAATGGAAGGAAGTTAAATAATGAGGGTACATATGCTGCAATTCGTAATCCCCCTGACTATTGCAGAATAGCAGCTTCATGTAATAAAGTCCTATTCATTATTCATTGTGGCTGTATCTGATAGATCAAGGCTAAATAGAGTAGTGGTCACTAGATTGTTGGCTTCCCCTGAACTCTTGTCTACTGGTCCTGGATAAGTTCCTTGAAAAAAAAGAAGAAACTATTGTAGCAACAGGCACAGAATCATTCCCCTAGATATTAGAGGAAACAATCTATTTCCCTATGTCAGATAACATAAGCAGCCGCAAGACAGATTGCACAGCTAATGCGTACTGTGATGGGCAGTTTATGTTCCAGCACGTCGTGTTCCAGTGCTCTTGCTGGTTGGCAGATTTGTGGAGCTAAAGGCTAAGGACTAATTCCATTTGCCACTGAAATTGCTATGCATCGCGGTGAATCCAGTGGTACCCCAGTGGGATATGTGGGGAATCAAGCGACTGAGGGGGACTCAGGGTGGCTTACATCTGGCAGCAATTCGATGCCAGTACAAACAACAAAACAGTATATCATGATCATTGGCTTAATTATTTTAAAGTTTATTTGCTGGATCCAGAACACTATAATTTACCAATTAAAAACAATGGGACTTAAGCTGGAGGAGTGTAGGAGCCCCATTCATTTCAATATCATTTGTTTACCTGGCTTTTTTTTAGTGTTCTCCACCTATATTTGATTTACACCCCAAAGCTAAACAGGTATGCTACCCTATCTATCTTCAAGCTATAATGAATAAAGTTCTGCTGTGTTAATGGGACAGTATGATTAACAGCACAACAGCCATGGAGTAACAGGTCCTTCTTATCTCATACAAGTAGAGCAGGTTTTGCAGGGCCAACTCTACCATTAGGCAGTGTGCAACGCAAGCCGCAGACTTACAAATTTCTACCATGCATCAAAAAATTGCCAGAACTCATATTCCTGTCATAAAGACATTGCATTATTTGGCAAGATTTTCTTGATGCCATGTCTGGTCTTGCTAAGCTTAGAGTCTTGGTGGATGATCTCCACAGAGAGAGTGACAGGGGGAGTGTGTCCTTGTTGGTTCTCTTGGACATCTCAGCGGCTTTTGATACCATCAACCATGGTATCCTTCTAGGTCAACTCTCAGGGATGGGTCTCGGGGGCACTGCACTCCAGTGGCTCCATTCCTTCCTTGAGGGCCGTACTCAGTCGGTGAAGCTGGGGGACCCCTGGCCATTGACCTGTGGGGTCCCGCAAGGTTTCATTCTTTCCCCCATGCTATTCAATATCTACATGAAACCACTGGGTGAGATCATCCAGAGTTTTGGAGTTCGTTGCTATCTCAAAACGGATGACACTCAACTCTATTACTCTTTTCCACCAGATTCCAAGGAAGCCCCTCGGTTCCTGGACCAGTGCCTGACTGCTGTGGTTGAGGGCTAACAAGCTGAAACTTAATTCTGACAAAACAGAGGTCCTTCTGGCCAGTCATGGGACTGATTGGGGCATAGGGTGGCTACCTGTGTTCAATGGAGTTGCACTTCCTCTGAGGACAGGTTCGCAGCTTGGGGGTCCTTCTGGACTCCGCTTTGACACTTGATGCTCAGGTGTCAGTGGTGGCTGGGAGGGCCTTTGCACAGTTAAAGCTCATGCACCAGTTGCTCCCATACCTCGTGAAATCTGATCTGGCAATGGTGGTCCATGCCCTAGTCACCTCTAGGTTGACCTACCACAATGTGCTCTATCTACATGAGGTTGCCCTTGAAGACGGCCCAGAAACTACAGTTAGTTTAAAGATCAGCAGCCAGATTACTCACAGGTTCTGGTAACAGAGAGTGGTCAGCCCTCCTGTTTAAACAGAGGTTAGAGGATTTCACAACAGTGTCGTAGTGAATCCATTCCAGATTCCAGATTTCAATCCAAATTTTAAAAGGGTAATAAAGTTATTTTAGAGACAGAATTCATAACCTTGACGAGCTCCTATAAAGTCTGCAGTGCACTGATAATGGAGTCACTTAACAAGTCCATCCACACTTACCATTTCTGAGTAAACCTGCATAGAATTATGTCGTTAAATGAAAGTTGCCCACTCCAGATACAGAGGTCAGTTGCAAACATTTAATTCAGTTAAATTACAGTAGTTTAAATCATAGTGAGTTTTCTGATGATTAATATAGTCTTTCAATGATTTCACCAGGTTTTCCGACATGGTGACCGGACTCCGATTTCAACTTTTCCCACTAACCCGGTCAAAGAAGATGTCTGGCCACAAGGTTATGAACAACTCACCAAGGTTTGATAAGTTTCTTTTAGAAATGAAAACATACCCATTAATCAGAATATAGTATGTCATTATTATTTCAAGCTCGAAACATTTTTCATGTCAGTTTCGTACAGCATATTCGTACAGTATGTGCAATTCAGATCCCAGTTTACATTCCCAAAAGAACAATTCTACATTCCTACATGTTTTAAATAATTGCTTCCCTCTGTCTTTTAGTATTTCAGCTTGTTAAGAGTCTGGAACAGTTACTTAACAACATGGGCAGAAGTTGGAAGCATTCCTTTTTGGGAATATAGCTCCCAAAATTCTTCAGCCAGCATATTAACCAGTCAAGGTGGGGAATTCTGAAAACTGTAGTCTAAAAAATTAATTTCCTCAGTGGTGAATCTTGGCTGTCCAGGGGCTTCAGGACTATAATTCCCACCAGCAATACCCTTTGGCTTTGGAACAGAGGATCAAGGGTCCAACCATATCTGGAGGCCAGAAGTTCCTCATGCCTGACATATTTATATTCCCTCCCTATATCTTAGATGGGACTCAGGGAGGATTACAGTACGCATATATGGCAAACATTCAATGTTGTTATACAATTAACAAAGACAGTGCTCGACTCCAGGCACGGGGGGGTGGGTGGGATGCTGTCGTCCATCTTACATGCCAAAGAGCTTTGTTGTCTTTAGACATTGCTGGCATGCCCACATGGGCGCCTTTTATTACCTCCCTCCAAAGTGGTACTTATATCGAACAGTTGGATGAGCAGAAGTTGGGAGCTCACCCCAACCTGGGCTTGAACTGTCGCCCTTTCGATCAGCAAGATTTTCTTCAGCTGCCAGTTTAACCTGCTGTGCTAAAGCCTGGCAAAGTTGATGGGTGCCCCATACCTCCAAAGAGGCAGGCATACAAGCAAGTAGCACCCTTCATTCACTCACCCTGGTGTGGATGTGTTGCACTCCAGAACAGGAATAACCCTCTGACTGGTTAGGAAAAACAATTCTTTTTTACTGAAGACAAATAAAAACAGCAAAGTAAAAATATGCGTTGAAAAATGGATCAGTCTAATAAGGTAAAAAGGTAAACAGGCAACAAAGTATTCCAAGGCAAGGTTCAGCAAAGTTCAAAAGCAAAGTCCAGACTGTTATAATAAAATCCAGAGAACCAGGAAAATATTAATCCACAGCATGAATATATAATTCCAAGATACAAAGATTCAAACCATGAACAAGAAATCCATAACATGAATCTTCCAAGCAAGAATTCCATAGAACAACACTAAGGACTAGGCAGGATTCTGAAACAATGCTTCATCTGACAAGAATTTCCCTGGTGAGAACTATATAGGCTATTCCCTGCACCCAGAAATTGGCTTCGTTTTCCTTGACTGCCTCTCGCCCTTATCTCTCGAAGCCTAGAAGAACAGTAAAAACCTTGGCTAAGCTGTCTATCCCGGCTGAATTCCAGCCGTCTGTCTATGTGCTCATTATCTATCTGCTCATTAATTTTTCCAGGTGACAAGTTGTTTTCAAACCTCAAATCCTGAGAACTCTCTGTGTCAGGGAGTAAACTAACATCCCTATATTCTGTAGGAACATTCTCATGAGAAACTACACTTTGAACTGGTGTCCCTATGTCATTCTCTGAATTAATATCATTGACCAAACCATCTCCATCTTGACTCTCAATGACATCATAATTCCCCATATCAGATTCACCTTGATCCTGAAACATAGACACAGGCTGAACTTCAACAGGATGAATGAATAAAAGATGCAACTATTGTGAGAGGAACAGTAAAACTGCAAATTTTGCCACCCTCAAAAGGGAAATTCAGCAGATATTATACCCGGTTACCTGCTCAAATCCCCTCTTCCATACAATCATTAGTGGTACAGAAGCTGTTGCCAGTTTTCATTCTGACAATCCTACCCAAAAGTAATAATCCAAAAATAGACCTCCAGTTTCCTAGCCTACAAATGGGGCGATAAAAATCGGAGGGTTTGCTTCAACCAGGTTCTAGAAAAGTACCAATAAATTCAGAGCTACCATCAGGGTTTTTTGCTATTAAGAACATCCTCATTATGTATAGGAGATTGTATCCTGTTCCTTTTTTAATTAGTCATGAGGTTATAGATATTACTGTTATTTATATAGATGCCATGAAGTTATGAAGGCATACTTCAAAGCTCAATTCTTTTGTTATACTGTATTATGATTGTTTCATTTGTAGTCAACACTGTTCTGGTAAAATGCAAGGGTCTTTTGAACTAGTAGTTAGCACAGAGATAGCTCAAAGAGGCATTAACAAATACATATGTTTATATTAACAGTATACTCAGTTAACTGGCATCCACGAGGATTGGAAGATGCTGGATAATTTCTGGTTGCATGAGAGTTATGACAGTATTAAAATAGACCTGAGTAATACTATACCATGATTGTATTGTCTTGATATTCATATTGAAATACAGTAATCAAAAGCAAATAAAGACAAATAAAGGTAAACGTAATATAACACAGTTTTACTGTTTCATTGTATTATAAAAACAGCTTTTTTTCAAGTATTGTTTCTTTGATTTTTTTTGGCCTGTTGGTTGAGAGTTCCAGTTGCTTGAATTCTGGTTAACTGAAAAACTACTGTATACTGTTTTCCCCCATAGATTGGAATGCAGCAGCACTATGACCTTGGACAATACATAAGGAAGACATATAAAAAATTCTTAAGTCAGGATTACAAGCGAAAAGAGGCAAGTACTTGAATCAACAATACATCTTTCCCCACTCATTTAACAGTAGCATTAGCACAAATAAAATGATGAAAGTAATTGTGATCAGGGCTTTTGTTTCAGACAAGCAAATATGGGATACAAAATGAGGATTAATTTCCCTATGAAATGGGAATGTTTCACACCTGAGAACAGCAATAATAAAACTTTATTTGTGGGTTGTTGTAGGTTATAGGAGGCATTCTCTCCTGATGTTTCACCTGCATCTATGGCAAGCATTCTCAGAGGTAGTGAGGTGAGGTGTATTTGTAACAATAGGATATAGTGCATCTTGCCTCAGAAATCCATAGATTTAACACATTCAGCATGTGTTTCAGTGAAGAAAAAGATACACAAGTATACATTTGGAAAATGTGTGTGGGGAAAAATGCACATCTTTTAAATATGTGCACATATATAATACAACCAGTAAGAAAATGTGTAAAAACGTATATCATAAGAAAAATGTAGATTTGATAAACATACTTTAAGAAACACATATACCAAAATATGTACATATTTCCATTTGGAGGATTAAGGAAAATCTTGGTGAGAGTCTGAAAAAGAGACTCTCCATTTGTAAGGCAAATATGGCTCATAAAACTATTTTAATTCATCCCTGGTTGCTACTATATCTACTTCACAGTAGGCTTGTGCAAATATTCAGAGTGGTCGGTTCCCTTCAGCCAATCCGGATTGTTGGGCTTGAGCAGATGGCCATAACAACAAGGGCTCAGCTGTTACCTTTTTTCATCCATTACAGAACCACATGGCAGCCGATCACAGTTCGTTCTTCCCTATTTGACATCACACTGCTTGCACGGGATTTCCTTGTGAGCCCTGCATGTTGGGCCTATAGGAATAGAAGAATGCTGTGATGTGTCTTATGCGAACTGTGTCTGCTTTCTTAACCCCATTGCTGAAACTCAGACTCCCTTGAAGGGAAAAAAAAGAAAGGGTCCCAGGAAGATTGCTTCCTTAACCCTGTTGCTGAAACCCATGCTCCCTTAAAGGGAAAAAAGGAAAGGAGCCATGTAAGGTCCCCATTGCTGCCAACTATTTGGATCTTTCAGCTGCCTAGGCAAAAACAGATTTTTCTATTAGCCGATTTTTCGGGAGGCTCCCAAAAACAAATCTAGGCACCCAACAAAATTTGGATGCCAAAAACCAATTGCCCTCCAGCCAAATTCCACAAGCCTATTTCATAGATACAAAACTTAATTCTTCTGTTTCACTTACCTGGTCTGTTTACTGTACATGTGCATGACTTATTATTAAGTCATGCACATGATGACTTAATAATAAGGATTCATCTACTGTAAAGTGCTAACACAGTTGCCGTGTGTACTATTATGGTAAAACAAGAACAACACAGAATCAACATGGCAGCTAAGCCATTCTTTCTGGTTTCTTTTCTAGATCTATGTGTACAGTACAGATTATGATCGAACCATTATGAGTGCTCAAGCCAATCTAGCCGGTCTCTTTCCCCCTGAGGGCAAGCAGATCTGGAATGCTAAACTTCGTTGGCAACCTATACCAGTTCACACAGTGCCTCGGTCACAGGAAAAGGCAAGTAAATATGTGGTGTTTTTAACGTATCAAATAATGTGTATGTTATCTTGGAAAGTGTCCAGTTAAGGTAGCAACATAGCAGTATTACAGTGATGGTGTACAGTAGTCACAACTACCCATTAGAAAAGCTTTCACAATATGCAAATTTGAGGAATTCAAGTATGGCAGGTCTAGGCACATCTCTCATAGTAATCAAAGTTCCTTGAAGCCAGGTCAGGATGGCAACATAGGAACAAGGAGGGAAAACCTTCCCCTTCTTATTTTGATATTCACCTCTATTGCTTTTTGTGCAGTGTTACAGATTTAAGAGAAGAGGAAAGGAATTGGTGTTTGTGAGTGATATGGTAGGAATAACCTTACAGATGGCAGATTCTGAATCCACTACACTGTGTATGGATGGTAGTGGTTGGGTGGGGCAAATGGACACACATAATTATTCCCAAACTGTACCATGTAGGGAACTGATTCTTGGCTCTACCAAAGAAGCCTTTGGCATAATTAATAGGGAAGGTATTCCTTTGTACACACAAAAGATAAAACAAAATACCGGTAATAATTTTTTTAAATGACCACCAAAACATTTCTCTTTGCTTTCAAGACTTCTCCACCAAACAAGTTTATGCCTGGCAAGTAGATGATGAAAATGTTTTCACCTCTCAGGCAATGACCAGAATGTTTTGAAAGTGGAGAAACCCTTTTGCCTTCCTTAGCCCCATAGTAGATTTGTCAAAGAAGGCTCTGTTGTAATTGAATTAAGTCAAAGTTTTGAAAACATCAAACATGGATGGAATAGAATTTAAGCCTATTATCTTCCCACAGAGTATTTTAAGGAAATGTAAAGCAAACAATTTTTGGTTAAGAAACAGGGTTGTGTCCTATCACACCTGTCTCCACCTTATATTGTTCTTTTGTTCATATACTCTACTTTACGGTGAGAAAATGTTTTGACCTGAGGGCCAAATTATGGGTTCCGGATAAGTATGTTGGGAGCATGAAACAGACGTGGGCAAGTCATAGTCGAAAGGGAATTGGCCACCTACAGACGAGAAGCTCTCAATGTGTTTGTTATCCTCACACATGCATATACGTGGACATATACATGAACACATATACTGTATTTTGAGCATACTTACTCTGCCCCAAATTCCTAATATGAGAAGAAGACATCATACTAGGAATAATAATGAATCCAGTTATTATAGATAAATAATAGTAAAATAAATTTTATCAGCTAATAACATTTTTATTTGTTTTTTAGTTGTTATCATATCCTACTCGCACCTGTAAACGATTTCATGTCCTTCTAAAAGAAACCATGGCTGCAAAAGAAGTCATGGGTAAAGTAAAGCCAAACATGGTAAGAAACCAGAAGCAAACATGGGACAAATGTGTCAGGAAGTGGGCGTATTGATTGGTGGAATGACTACAATGATAGAGCTAATCATTATAGTGACATCTGGCAATGCAAGATCTCAGCTTTTTCTTACTGTGGAATTATGTATGTAATTTGATAACAGCTATCTTTTCCAGTTCCATCTCCTCACATTGCTTCTCCATAAGAGTTGCTAAGGTTTTGATAATTTCTGCTTGAATATTGTCATCTGGTTGTTCTGGAATCATTCTGAAAATATCAACATGTTTCACATTCCCTCAGTTCAATCAATGTAATCACACTCACGTTCTCGATTTTCCAGTTTTTCTCTCTCTACAACTTCTTTATTTTTTTTGTTTTAGATTCTGGATTTTTTTATTTATGTATTACAATTTTGTGAAAGTATTTCACTTCTGCCTATTTATTTTTCATTTCCCATCTACAATTTTTCAACTCTGTTTAAAATCAGAGTCCATTTGTGCTATCTTAAGTTTTAAGGGCTTCAGCTCATCTAAATTCACTTGGGACATATCACCAGATTTTCCTGTCATTTCCACTGATCCTCTTCCTTCATATGCTCTGGTCTTAAAACTAAGTCTAGAAATCACGATATCAACAAAAATAAAAAGGAATAAAACACTGACTGTAATTACTTATTTTGACCACCAGATGTGACCCTCTGCATATATATCTCTATATAGAGCAGGCACGGGCAACCTTGGGCCCTCCAAGTGTTTTGGACTTCAACTCCCACAATTCCTAACAGCGGAATTGTGGGAGTTGGAGTCCAAAACACCTGGAGGGCCCAAGTTTGCCCATGCCTGGTATAGAGCCTGTTTACAGCAAACTTGCACATGTTTTGCTTCTAAAGTTTCCCTTTAACTTTATAAGGCTGACCTTGGGCTTATGACAGGTATTCTTCTCACACCTTTGGTTTATTTAATATATTTAACATCCTTCTCTGTCATTCAAAATTAAAATCCTTCTACTTCTTCAGTTCTCCCTCCTGCCCCCAGTTCATTGTTTTTTGCTGTTTATTAAGAGCACTCCTCTAAAAAGACCGTTTAAGAAGGCTCCCAAGTTAGTTTTACTAACTGGCTGGATCTACGGCCCCATCTACACTGCCCTATAAAGTCCAGATTATCTGCTTTGAACTGGATTATATGAGTCTACACTGCCAGATAATATGGGATAAGCAGATAATAATAGGATCAGATCCTGAGATATAGGGCAATGTAGATCCAGCCAGAGTCTCTTGATCACAGTGTGTTCCAAGGAGCATTTTAGGTGATTCAGAGTTACTTTGACTGGCAATCATCACACCAAGCATCTCCTTTCACAGCAGCCCTCACAGGAGAGAACCAGAGTTCCCATTCCAATGGCAGGTTCCCTAATTATCTGATATTCTTAACTTCTGAACTCTCTTGAGCTTTAGCAACTTCTGTTGCATATAACATATGGTCCTTTCATCCACCCCACTTTTACCACAACCAGAGATGGCTAGTGGGTCCCATGTCATCGGAGACATGCTCTGGGCTTTATTACAGACTTAAAAAAACTATCCAAGATGCTGAACCTGATTTTTTTAAAGTTCAGATGTGGGCACATCTACACTATCGCGTAGTGCACAAGCTTCTGTGCACATCAAACAACTATTTCAGAGGCGTCCAAAGAAAATGATTGATAGCAGGGGCGGCTCAACCCATTACGCAAAGTAAGCATTTGCAGTATAGTTGATTTTGCCCAGGGGCGCTCTTGAGGCGCTCTTGGAGGAAAATAAACATATGCGAGTTGTAGTTACTGGGATGTATAGTTCACCTAAAATCAAAGAGCATTCTGAACCCCACCAATGATGGAATTGAACCAAATATGGCACACAGAACTCCCACGACGAACAGAAAATATATATCAGTGATTGGTGGGTGGGGGGCCAAAATACTGTTTGCTTACCATTGAAAATTACCTAGGGCCACCTCTGATTGATAGCCACAAAAGCACATGCTAGAATAAGCAAATTCATTTCAAAATTGCTACAGGATTCCTGGATTCCTTTTAATGCTGGTTTTATTAGTTATTGAAAATTTCTTACCTTTTTATTAAGTTTGATTTTATTGGCTTTGTGTTCCATTTTTCATTCTGCGTAACAGTCATGCAGCCTGCACTTTAACCCATGTCATTGTTGTTGTCATTGTTGTTCAGTATGCCAGTCATTTATTGTATTCATTGCCTTTGAATTGAGCACTGAATACCAAGTTTAAAATTTGTAAGAAAAGTAAAACCCTGTCATTGCAGAAAGAGGCCCAAAATGTGTACACATTGATCTGAATGGACAAACTATTGACACTTCTTTGTTTTATTTTGCAGAAGTTTGTCGGTGAAATAGCAGCTAAAATGGGATTTGATCCAAAGAGTGTTCTCGATTTTAGCAATCATAAACTCTGGAATGCCTACGATGCTTTAATTGTCCAGGTATTTGTAATAAACTACTATGGGGGCCCTGGTGTCACAGCAGGTTAAACCACTGAGCTGCTGAACTTGCTGACCAAAAGGTTGGTGGTTCGAATCCAGGGGGCAGGGTGAGCTCCCACTGTTAGGCCCAGCTTCTGCCAACCAAGCTGTTCAAAAACATGCAAATGTGAGCAGATCAATGAGTACCGCTTCTGCAGGAAGATAATGGTGCTCCATACAGTCATGCTGGCCACATGACCTTGGAGGTGTCTATGGACAATGCCGACTCTTTGGCATAGAAATGAGGATGAACACCACCACCCCAGAGTTGGACACAACTAGACTTAACTTCAGGGAAACTTTTATTATGAGCCCTTCCACACTACCCTTTATCCCAGTATCTGATCCCAGATGATATACTTTAAACTGGAATATATGAGTCCCAACTGCCAGATAACCTGGGTTAAACCTGGAATCAGATGCTAAGATATAGGGACAGTGTGGAGGAGCCCTAAGTCACATTAAGCTCCAACTATCATAAAACGTAATAAAAGTATTGCTAGTGAAGGCTTTTCTTATGCAATCACCTTCCCCAAATTTTGTTTTTGAGGGAATCAAGAAGTCATTGTTTTCTTTTCATATAACATCCAAATTATCTGCTTTAAATTTGATTATATGGCAGTGTAGACTCATATAATCCATTTCAAAGCAGATAAATGTGATTTATCTGCTTTGATAATCTGGATTATATGGCAGTGTAGATGTGCTGTCACACACTGGGCCTGTTCATATGACTGTAGACAGGACATAAATTCTGTGTGCCCAACGGGATGCCGGGGCTGCCTCAGATTAAAGGCCCTTAGATTCCCCCAAACAGAGTCTTTAGATTGCTTAAAGTAAATCCAACAAAGTTCTTTATTGATGAAAAACAAACAGGTACTTTAAAGCATTCTTAACAGTCTATTGGCTCTTGCAATCTTGTTCACTGGAAACAGGCACTATCTTCTTAACTTTAATTAACTAATGGGGAAATCCTTAACATCTAATCTGGGCAGTCTGTACTTGCCTCTGTTGGCATGGAGCCCCTGCACCCGGTACCAACTGCGTCTGGCTTCCGTGAGCGACCCTTGCCAAGCAGAGATTTGTAGACTTCCAGGGGAAAAGAAGGAGCTGTAAGGCTGTATAATCCTTGGCCAAGCTGTGGGCTGTATATCTCCCCGGCCAAGCTGTAGAAGACGAAGCTTTCTACAGGAGCTCTTCTTTTATGTCCTGTGCGAAAGGCTTCTCTGTGAGAACTGAACTCAAAATGGCTCCTATTCCCACTAAAACTCAAAAAGGGGCGGGACCAGGGAACCTAACTATAATTGACAGGTGGCTTGCCCTATGATCGCAAACTATAACAGGACGCCACCCTGCTGCAAAATCCCAAGCCTGGGATTGCAAACAAACATTTAATGCAAAGCAAACAGAATTGGAACTTCTGGTACAGCTGTACCAGCACAGTAGAAGAGGCCTCAGGCAAAAAGCAAACTGTTGAACATCTCCCAAATTTTATGTTCTTCATGGATACCTCTGGCCATTTTGACCACACTCTGACATTGCTTTGCCATGTTTCCCAGTTTTCCTCTGTGAAATGTTGGAGAGTATGAGGTTATGAGTGAGGCCTCTTCTACACTGCCATATAATCCAGATTATCAAAGCAAATAATCCATATTTGAACTGGATAAAATCATCTGGATTTTATATGGCAGTGTTGAAGGGGCCTGAGCTCTATGCTTCACAGGTATTATCAAGGCTGAAATGACAGCCTTCAATATCACACATCTTCCCCACAGATATGGAATGAAATGCTGGTTGGAATAGGGTTGGAAGTGAATTTATTTTTCCATCCTGGATTGTACTCCCTACTCAGCACTTTTTTTTTTCATGTCAGGAGTGACTTGAGAAACTGCAAGTCGCTTCTGGTGTGAGAGAATTGGGCAACGTCGCCAAGGACGTTGCCCAGGGGACGCCAGGATGTTTTGATGTTTTACCATCCTTGTAGGAGGCTTCTCTCATGTTCCGCGTGAGAAGCTGGAACTGACAGAGGGCCTCCCCGGACTCGGAGCGGCTTACATGAGGCCAAGCCCAACAGTACATCAATAAACAAAGCAATAAACAAAAACAATAAATACAATACAATTAATATAAATCACATATAAACAATAAACAATAAACAGTAACACACAAGGATTTAAAAACCTATGGCTGGGCCAAATGTAATAGTTTAAAAATTAAAAAAATGACAGAAATGCTCACTGCACCAAGTGAAAACGGAGTCTGGCCCCTTATACACTTGTCCTTATATCCCAGGTTTTCTTTGATCCCAGGTTTTCTGCTTTAAACTGGATTATATGAGTCCACACTGTCAGATAATCTGGGATAAACAGATGGGATCAAATTCTGAGATATAAGGACAGCATCTGTTTTGTTTCATTTGATTTTTTTTTTTAAAAAAAAAAAAAACAATTTTGCGTGTTGTATTCATGAACTGTAGCCATCTGCCAACTTTTGGATCCTCTGTAAGCCAAAAAGTGCAGAAGAGGAGTCTTAGGACATATATAAATAGGAAGGTCTATAAAACGCCCAAGCCAATGGGAATGAGAAAGGGAAGGACATGCCACAGAGAAATCTTTTTCTTTATTGCAGAAAATTCATTCTCATCCTGTACCGGCTTGGGCCACCCCACAAGCTATGGAACAAATGAAAAAGCTGTTGGGGGTTGCTCTAAGTGCCATGTTTGGGGTTCACAAAAGAGAAGAGAAATCACGGCTGCAAGGAGGTAAACACAAAACCAAAAGCAAGGCCTTCCACATCTTTATTTGTACAATGGTTCAAACCCTAAATGTTGTTAAAATTGGGTTGCTGTGAATTTTCTGGGTTGTATGCCCATGTTCCAGAAGCATTCTCTCCTGATGTTTCACCCACATCTATGGCAGGCATCCTCAGAGGTTGTGAGGTCTGTTGGAAACTAGGCAAGGGGGGTTTATATATCTGTGGAATGTCCAGGGTGGGAGAAAGAACTCTTGTCTGCTTGAGGCAAGTTCTATCTTTAAATTCCAATTGGACAGCTTGAATGTTCCAATTGGACAGCTTGATTAGCACTGAATGGCCTTGTAGCTCCAAAGCCTGGCTGTTTCCTGCTGTGCATTTGGAAACAATAAACATTGACAAAATCACAATCTGTCAACTGCAAAAGGCCACCTTACTTGGATCTGCGTGCATCATTCGAAAATGCATCACACAGTCCTAGAAGCTTGGGAAGTGTTCAACTTGTGATTTTGTGATACAAAATCCAGCATATAGATCTCGTTTGTTGTGACATACTATGTTTTTGTGTCAGTGTTATAATAATAAGCCAGTAAAGGTGGTCCCAGTGGTGATCGTCACACTGGTTGCAGTGCTTAAAGACCTTGGCCTGCACTTAAACTCAATCAGAGCTGACAAAATTACCAACTGCCAGCTGCATAAGGCCACCTTACTGGGATCTCCATGCATTATTCGCCGATACAGCACACAGTCCTGGACACTTGGGAAGTGTCCAACGTGTGATCCAATACAATACCCAGCAGAGTGATCTTGTCTGCTGTGGACTCATCTTGTTGTGTTTCAATAATAATAATAATAATAATAATAAAAGAGTTTTGGAGCACAATACTCCTGACCTCACAATTGTGGAAATAAAACAAAGCATGGATTGTCAATGTTGCAATCCCAGGTGACAACAGAATTGACAAGAAGCAACTGGAAAAGCTTACATGATATGAGAATTTAAAGATAGAACTGCAAAGACTCTGGCACAAGCCAGTAAAGGTGGTCCCAGTGGTGTTCAGCACACTGGGTACAGTGCCTAAAGACTTTGTCCTGCACTTAAAAACAATTGGTGCTGACAAAGTTACCATCTGTCAGCTACTTTGATCTGCACACATTATTTGCTGATACAACACACAGTCCTAGACATTTGAGAAGTGTATAACATGTGATCAAATACAAAAGCCAGCATAGTGATCTTGTTTGCTGTGTACTAATCTTGTTGTGCATCAAATAATAATATCCATCCTTTTCTACGGTATTCAAACCTACTGTAAGCAGCAATATGTATTGAAATGCCTCTCCATTCCTTTAACACTTGTTTTTTTTTTTTCCTTTTTCCCATTTAGGTGTACTTGTGAAAGCAATTCTGGATGACATCACAAAAGCTACYGATCCTAAAAATGAACTGAAAATGAAAATGTATTCAGGAGTAAGTATTAACATTTCACATTGACCATACATGTAATATAACTTCTGGATTTTATATGACAGTGTAGTTGGGACCTCTCACAAACATTGAGGGAAAGATTGAATCACCACCATCAGCATCACAACTACTTGTAGTACTACTATTTGTGTTCACTAATATATTTATATTATGATAGTTTTACAATTTTATTTTCTTTCTTTGTGTAGCATGATATGACAATAGCYGCCCTCCAAGTAGCCCTCAATGTTTTTGAACCACATCTACCTCCCTATGCCGCTTCCCAGTTTTTTGAACTATATAAAGAAGACAATGGGCAAGTATTCTTAASTCATACATTAAATCAGTGGTTCTCAACCTTCCTAATGCCATGACYCCTTAATACAGTTTTTCATATTGTGATGACCCCCAGCCATAAAATTATTTTCGTTGCTACTTCATAACTGTAATTTTGCTACTGTTGTGAATTGTAATGTAAATATCTGATATGCAAGATGTATTTTCATTCACTGGGCCAGATTTGGCACAAATACCCAGTACACCCAAATTTGAATACTGGTGGAGTTGGGGGGATTGATTTTGTCAATTGGGAGTTGTAGTTGCTGGGATTTATAGTTCATCTACAATCAAAGAACATTCTGAACTCCATTAATGATGGAATTGAACCAATCTTGGTATACAGAACTCCCATGACCAACAGAAAATACTGGAAGGGTTTGGTGGGCATTGGCCTTGAGTTTTGGAGTTGTCGTTCACTTACATCCAGATAGCATTGTGGATTCAAACAATGATGGACCTGGACCAAACTTGGCACACAAACCCAACATGGCCAACCGTGAATACTGGTGGAATTTGGAGAGGATTGACCCACAATTTTGGGAGCTGCGGTTCACCCACAACCTTATGCATTTTCTAATGGGAACATTAATAAAAACAAAAGGAAAGACTAACTTTTAAAAAAGAAATAGTGTTACAAATTACCTAAGCTGTTTCTGCTCCTCCCCTGCTGCTGGGCCACTCTCTGTCCCACATCATGCTGGTACTTTCCCTCTGCCTTGAAGAGACAAGCCTCCTTCCAGCCTTGTGTGCTCTCCCTCATCCACGTACCATGCTGCCATGCACCAAGCACACCTGCTCTCCCCACCCCTCTTGGTTTCAGAAACAGCCCTCCCCTTGGCTGAAAGGCCAGCTGAGGGACCAGCCAATTACAGCAGAAGTAGGGCTTTTTGTGGGAGGATTCACCATCTGTTTCCAAAAAGGGAGAGAAGTACAGGCAGAGATATCTTCAGCTTTCTCTGCCAAAGGTGTTCCTAAGGCCATCAGAAATGTTTTCTAATGGTTTTTGGTGACCCCCCTCATGACCCTCCCAGGAGTCCCAACCCGAGGTTGAGAAATGCTGCATTAAATATTCAACAATGGTTTGCTGAAAAAACTTTTTCAACACCACTCATATTTTGAAACCAGACTGAACATACCATTTCTCCTCAGAATTAGTAAGATGGTCAAAAATGTGAAGATAATCAATTGCATTTCTTTTGTGCGTGAAAATGTGATTTTTAGCTGTTCAAATACTATTGAAAATTATTTTCCTAGATAAATGTCTTTACATTTACTTGGGAAAGACAAAAGGAGTCAAAAAGAGTTAGAACACATTTGTTGCAACTGGTTTTTGTTTGTTTGTTTGTTTCACTTACCTGTACTTCTGTGTTATGCCAATTCTACATAAGATTCCAATACATATATCTGGTCTGTAGATGGTAACCTAAGTTGAGGGTACATACCTGAATTGCTAGATGGATTGTGGAGTATTCACACACATTTGCAATGTACATGAAAATATGTATAAACAGGTTATAATGTGGAGGGGCATCCCTATGGATGCTTTCTATCCATGCGTGCATGCCCATTTGTCTCCAGTTGACATAATTCATAACTGATTTTGACCCGCTCACACAACCCCACATGCAAACTTTAGTGACATTTGTTCATTTCAGGAGAGAATGCTTCTGGAACATGGCCATACAGACTGAAAAAACTTACCCATTTGCTCATTTCAATCCTTGTAACTTAAATATGCATAACTTTAACTTGTTTGTATCTGTATTAGGAACACACTATGCACTAAATATAATTTTATTTTTATACCCTGCCACCATCTCCCCGAAGGGACTCAGGGCAGCTTAAAAGTGGGACCGACAACAAAATACACTACTAAAAACACAATTAAAAACACAGCAGGTTATAAAACATCATTAAAAGTACTATATCAAACCAAACCCAACAACCAGTAACCAGGACAAGGGCATGATCCAACTAGAGAGGACTGGGCATGGACTTGTGCAAAAAGCAGACTATAGAGCCAAGGCTAGGGATAAAGTGCTGAGAACAACCTTATTGGTAAATAGGGTTGGGCATTCATGAAGCGGGATTAACCATTATCAAATGCACACTGGAACATCCAGGTTTTCAGATCCCCGTGGAAGGACCACAAAGTGGGGGCTAGCCTAATCTCCCTGGGGAGGGAGTTCCAGAGCAGCCCTATGTCCTGGACATAAACCTAGGTACAAGAGACAGTCCGACCATTAGACTGAGTGAGAGAAGTGCCTCAGGTCACAGACGCTGAATTATTCCCTTCAGTTGGAGGACAGACTTGTTTGTATGCATTCCCTAAAGAAGGCAGCTACCTTTAGATGCAGTTTAGAATATTGTTCCATTGTGTGTGCAGAAATAAACCTGAATTTCCAGTTCATTACCCCTTGTTAAACATCACTGCAGATGTTGACATATAACTAGTGGCATTTGGTGACTCCCACATCAATTGGAGCTTTTAATCGAGGATATTAAATGCCCACCAGAGTTCTGAACCCTATTTGTGATCTAGTTTATCACTTTAGATAGCTCCTAACTTTATGTAAAGTTGACCAAAACCTGAAATGGATTTACAGATCCACTGCCATGCTTACTACCAAAAGTCAGAAAGGCATCTCCGGTATGTTTTATAAGCAACAGAGAACTGCACCCAAGGGTTTTCAAAACAATTTTAGAATAAATATTTCTTAATGTGCATGTATACCAGAGGTCTCCATTTATGAAATGACAAAAATCTCAAACAAAGCAATTAGCATAACTTTCTTCTCTTTTTGGGTGCACCACTAAATCAGCGGCCACACCATTGAGATGTACTATCGGCCTGATGTCAATGCTGAACGTCGTCCGCTCACTTTACCTGGCTGTGAAAAGTCATGTCCACTGGAGAAGTTTAAACAACTGGTTTCTCCTATTCTAGCAAATAATGTGGAAGAAGAATGTAACAAAGTCTAATCATAATCATAAATTACAGGTAAGGTTTTGGTATTATACATTGGAGCGCTTCAAGAAGTTCCCTCTTTGGATAGCTGTTCCCATAATTCCCTAGTGAGCATGGTCATAGCGTCTGGGGATAATGGATAATCCAAAGTAACTTTTCACACTCTTCATATCCATGTGTTATCTGGTATTTTAAAAGGTATGATGCATTAGAGGTGGGAATGGTGTTTTTAAAAGTCCATAAAATTGATTTTTCATTCTTTAAAACCCCAGTTTGATTTCTTCCTTAAAAACAGTACTAAATAGTGAATCTGGCCCTGCTGTTTCTGGATAAGACATTTTGAACTTTCAGAGTACAGTTTTCAAAATAGGTTTATCTGGACTCCTATTAAAACTTTGTGTGTGTGTGGCCTATGACAGCTATGGAAACTTTTATAGGCAACTGACTAAAGATAGTTTAGTCAGTTATTTCTCTGAAATACAGCCTACAGCGTTCACTGATATCTCCCACCCAAATTCTAAACAGAATTGACTCTGCTTGGCTTCCAAAATCAGACAGATGTAGTGCCTTTAGGGTATTTAGGCTTTATACTGGCATAAATGCAAACGTCTTTCATGGAGATTGTGCAAGAGTTGTATTGTATCCAAGAGAAACAAGATAGTGTGAACGATCTAAAAGTGTAGTTCCGATAGAACAGTCCTTAGCATTAGATGGCGAGTTGAGCTTTGGGAGTGCTTATGGATGAACTACCTATTACCCAGTCAGTTGAACAGTAGTATGCCACAAAAACTGTAATGGAAGTATAATGTTATACTGTACAACTGTATAACATGAGGTCTTGGCCTTTTTCTTACCCTCAGCACTTTGAGGTTCTGTAACAATTAGGCTTCAAGAAGGTAAGGGACAAGCACTGAAATGGGCTGCTTCCCAGGCATGTCACATTTGTCCACTCACATTTCTTTCTCTTATTTTTCCTTTCTATCCAGAGGCTGGAAAAGTTCCCTTTTTGGTCTGTAACTCTCAGAGCCTTTCAGCCAGTGTGAACATGGTGGTTGCGGGATTTTGGAAGTTAGGATCCCACAAAGCATGTTTTCCAAGTTCTGCATTTGTGGGCAACCCTATCCATCTCAAAGGTTGCACCCTGATTATAGAAAGATAGACACTTAGTTTGCTGTGAGTTTTCCAGGCTGTATGGCCATGTTCCAGAAGCATTCTCTTCTGACATTTTGCCCATATCTATGGCAGGCATCCGCTAACGCTGGCACAGTGCGTTAAACCCCTGTGCCGGCAGGACTGAAGACCGACAGGTCACAGGTTCGAATCCGGGGAGAGCGCAGATGAGCTCCCTCTATCAGCTCTAGCTCCTCATGTGGGGACATGAGAGAAGCCTCCCACAAGGATGGTAAAAACATCAAAACATCCAGGCATCCCGAGCAACGTCCTTGCATGCGGCCAATTCTCTCACACTAGAAGCGACTTGTAGATTCTCAAGTCGCTCCTGACACAACCAAAAAAAATTCCTCAAACATTGTAAGGTCTGTTGGAAACAAGGCAAGTGAATGTCCAGGGTAGAAGAAAGAACTCTTGCCTGTTTGAGGCAAGTGTGAATGTTGCAATTGACAACCTTGATTAGCATTGATTATCCTTGCAGCCCAGAAAACTCACAGCAACCCAATGATTCTGGCCATGAAAGCCATCGACAACACACAGATAGACATTTGTGGGAGAGCAAGTTCTGGTAGAGGACCATTCTCCACTGCCATATAATCCAGAATATCAAGGCAGATAATCCACATTATCTGCTTTGAATGGAATTATCTTACTCTACACTGCCAGATAAACAGTTCAAAACAGATAATCTGTAATTTTTACAGCTCTTAAAAAATTAAGAGCTCTAAAAAAATTGGCTTCTCAGGCCGGAGCTGGCTCCAAGATACTCATTTTTACTGTCCTACCACATTTCTGTAATGTCTTTTCTGTGAAGTCTGCCTATCCATGATATTATGATCTTTTAGGTGCCATATACTTGTTTGTATTTTAATTGCTAATAATAGCAATGCTATCTGAAATGCATGGAAATGTGTGTATATATTGTGTGTATAATGTGAAATAAGAACATTTATATTTCCCAAATATGTTTTCTTAATGTTGACAGTGCTGTTGCCCTTTTGCCGTGTTGCTGTCAGAAAGAAGTCAAAGGAATGGCAAAACAGAAAATTAAAATCCGAAGTGGAAAGAAGGAGGATGGCAAACATGAACCCTATAATCATCAGTATGATTCTCATTTTCCTCACAATTATTCCTAATCAAATAAAATGTATAAAAATCAATCAGCTTTCATATAATTTTGTGATTAATGTGGCCTATTCTACAGTATCACTATGAAAAAGGGTTGTGAACATTCATCTTGCAGCCTTCTTGACAATAATGAAGATTTGGATTTTAAGGATATCTGTTCCAAAGTGCTATAGAGTTTCATAATCTTTCTCAGAGGCCCATTTCATCAAAATTCTCTTTCTTAAACTCAGATTCTCCAACTATTTTTTTATTTATATAAGGACAAATCACTGATGGTTAGGTGGGATGTCCACAGCCCAATGAGACATAGGTAACATGCAGACTGGATAGTCAGGGAAGGGGGGTCGTTGTCAGTGTCAAGTCAACTTTTCAAAAATATTATAGTGGCATCTGCAACTTGCAACCCTCCAGCTGTCCTTTAACTAAACTTCCCATCAAACTCTCATCAATCTTGCCAGAAGCAACATCTTTCCACTTCTGTTTTCAAGGAAGAACATGAGAAAAGTGGCCATCATCCCATGAAATTATCAACAAGGACAATTTGTGCATCAGCTCAGAGGGATCAGTACAGCACTGTTTAATTCATACAGCTTCTATTCTATTGACAGTCAATCTAAGCATAATCCTTTTCCATGCACAATATATAAAATATGAACATCTTCGCCTAGGCTATTTTCCATGCAATGTATCAATGTTACATAACTAATAAGTAACTATGGTGTTACTATGTAATTTTACATTCAAGTAAAGTTGTAAAACTTTAAGATTATTTGAAGACTTGAGGTAGTAGTGTCTTTGAAATCACTTTTAATACAGTATCATTAATTAGATGTCACCTTTTGCTTATTATATTTAATATGTTAATTTTGGCATACTTTCATGTGAGTCTTTCATCATGTGATAGGGTAGCAAAAGCAGAATTGTTGCACTTTTTTGTGGCACTAGGCATTATTTATTGGAAGCACAAATAACTGCATTTATCTAGATTTTATAGGACAGCTTCGAATCCTGTCATATATCTTTGGCACTGATTGCACAGTAAATTAATTTTTGTCAGCCTGCTTCACCAAGCAGAGTGTTCTCACAAGACTCAGACTTAATTAATTTCAATTAATTGATTCTAAATTTTATTAATTAAATACACTTAAACTCTTCAGATCATTCAAGCTAATAAAGAGAATGGTGTATCCACACAGATTACAATAACTGAATCTTCTATCATCACCTTTCAATGAAATCAGTAATTATATTGGTTTGTTCAGAAAATATCCAAAGCTTTAAGTCAAAGAAAAATTCATTCTTTGATTTTGGAGTCCTGGAACCAAATCTCAGTGGCTAACAAGGGTCCTTGTATCTGCAGACCAATGAGATTAACATGAGATAATAAGGTGGTTAACCCACTAAACATTTTCTCAATATATTCTTAACCGAACTGAAGGGAAGAGCTTGCACAATATCCATTGAGACTTTGTTATGTGTAATAACCATGCCAGGATCTTTGGATTCTCACCTATGTTGCCTTGATAAGATACAGTCAGCCTTTCATATCTGTGGGTTCAGCAACCACAGATTTAGCCAACTGCAAATTATCTTTTCTTTAAAAAAATCAGTCCTGGATGTCTCATTTTTCTCATGCCCCACATGCTCTATGGTGGTCTCACAAGAGGACCATGGCAGAAATTTTTCTGAAGTCCTCCCTTGCTAAGGGTGAAGAAGCTGCTGAGACAGGGCAGAGGAGTATGTGAGAGGAAGAAAGAGAGAGAAGGAAGGAAGAGGATGCTCAGAGCAGAAGCTCAGTGAGTTTTGAGTACACTGAAGCTTAGTAGAGGCCAAAGAGCCATCCTACAGTCTTTTCCTATGGTGGTTGACCCAGGCCCCTTCATCTGACTCTTATAGTGGAGTGTATATTAACAAATTTTGGGTATATAGGAAAATTGTGCATATGTTCAAAGAAAACGATGTATAGTAAAAAAAATAGTATTCAAAATGTGTTTGTGTGGAGAACTACTTGCAAAAAGCTATATACATAGATGCAGGCGAAATGTCAGGAGAAATGCCTCTAGAACATGGCTCTATAGCCCGAAAAAACCCACAAGAACCTAGCTATATACATATATTCAATAAAACTTCATGAAAAATACATGTATTAAAAATGCTCACAAAATATATTCATACTTTCATACACATGTTTAACAAATTCTGAAGGCTCAAGGCAAAGCAGAATAAATGAGAAAAATTCAAATTGTAAAATAATCTGAATTTAAGATTAGAATCACCAGGGATCAAAGTTGATGGCCCTGTCTATCCCTAAATATATGTAGCTTCTCCATCAAAGACATTACATTGTAGCTATTGACATGGTAGATTCCACAATGAATGTTTGGATTTGTGCACGGTGCTGTTAATGCCAAAGATCTAGAAGTGTGACCTATCAAAGCAACATCTCATATTAGGTCCATGGCTTGTCTTTGCTATTTGCTGTCAAGCTGAGTTTGATTTATAGTGACCTTTGAAGGAGAGACCTTCAAGATCCCCAGTAATCAATTCCTCTGTTCAGGATTATAATTCGGTCTTCCTCTTTTTCTACTGCCTTCCACGTTGCCAAGCATCTTTCCCAGTGAATCACATTATTTTATGATGTGCAGGGGTGGCTCAACCCATTACGCAAAGTAAGCATTTGCAGTATAGTTGATTTTGCCCAGGGGCGCTCTTGAGG